ATGCATGAACTTACTCTAAAAGTAAAGACTGTTTCTGCCTTCTCCTGTACAGTTACCATCTTAGAGATGCATGTTTTTCTTTGGAAAGCAACAATATAAAAATTCTGAAGACACATGGTCACTGACTGCTTTGCCAATAAAATTGGTGGCTATGATTACAATGTAGACATCGTGACCCCTGGTCCCCATCAACACCACTGCGGAGAAATTTGAGTCAGTAAGTTTTTCTACAATTTCACATCACACTATTCTGAATGACTTTCTTTACATCTCAACAATTGTACTGTGCAAATAAATAAATAAATGAATAAATAAAAAACATTGGAATTTCCCTTTTGAATTCCAACTACTGGTTGAAACCTGGCTTGTGAAGTACATAGCGATTGGTGTCATCCTAAACTGATGAGTAGATACAGACATAATCAGATAATTAGCTGAAATTTCTGAGTAATTAAAAAGTAGAGATCCACTCTTTGCTATGAATTGCTCTGGTGGTTGAGAGGTCACAGCCTCCACCTTGTTCTGTCTCTCACACCACATCTAAGGTTTTTGAGGGTTTTATTTTTATGAGCCCAGCATCCTCGATATTGATCTAACATCCTCTTGTCCTGGAGGCATAGCTCATACCACGCAGCTATAAGACTTCACACTTGTTTTTTGGGTTTTATTTTTTGGATATTTGACTTTCGATTTTTAGCCCTGCAGTGATCACCCAGGATTTATGCACTCTTTCCAGAAACTCCAATTCAGGCTACAAAAAAAAAGCAGCTCTCACAGGCAGAGGCTACTTTCTTGAAAGAAAGAAAAAAAAAGCAGAAAGCTTTCAAAGCTTCATTTTACACCTACAGAAGACACCATGGTTGGAAGACTTGTTTTATACACATTTTTATACTGTTATCAGAATTGTATTCATACATGTTCCACTGACTGCTAGTTACTCTTCTCCGGAATGTATAAGCACACATATTTTAATTAGTCTGATGGTGTGGTAGACCATCGTGTGGCCTGACAGCTGGCCGAGGGCCTTGCATTATCAAGTCTAGAGTCATCTTGACTGTCAAGATCATGGCAATGTTTGCTTTAGGTTTTGTAGCAGTCTATAAGACATGCTGTCATTTTCTGGGACTTCATCTTACTTACTCAGCCTACTGCAATCAGCAAAAGTCACAATATTTCATCAACATATGGAGCTATGAAGACTGGAAACTATAAATGTAACTAAAATGAAACATGAGATAATATTTATGCTTGGCACACAGAGAATATTGAATATAAGAAAAATATAATACTGGATCCACTGAAGAGATGCAGCAAGCCTGCTGTTTAAAATCTAGTTCTTAAACAAACAAACAAACAAATAAATAAATAATCAGCCTAAATCCAATTCATGAACATGATACACTACATGGACGAATAGCAATTCCAGTCATTCCGTAATTCTGACCTCCACCGTGGAAACTGAGCAGACGCAACTCTCACATGTTGAAATCCTAAAGCGTATCACATTATTCACACACGTTATTTTAACTCTTTTCTATTACCTTGTATGCAAAACATACCATAAAGTGAGATAAAATCATAGTAAGTTTACACTCTCCACAAATTACTTTAAACCATAATTGGCCATAGTTTCTAACATTGTCCAGCAGCCCACTTTCATTTATTTAAAGACCACAGTAGCAGCATTCATTTCTTTTTCCTGGTTACCATGAAACCATAAAAGCCAAACCTTACCAAAGGTCATACTTCAAGTCTACTGAATGGCCTAAAAAGTTTCACAGCCATCACAGAACTTTCTAGATTGAGCTGTATGGGGCAAACAGCAGGATTTCAAATATCAGTAGCACTTGCTGCAGTTGAGAAAGTCACTAAGCTGCCCATGACTGACTTTTACATTTTTCATACAATCGTGTCTACAGGGAAGCAAACTTAGAAAATTAATAATGACCGCCTGCCATCTGTCCAAAAGCTGAACAGCTTACATATGTAAAGGCACAAAGGACAAGACTGGCAAAAACTCTGCTTATAGTCCAACAGATGGCAGCGGCTGTGTGCTATATGGTGATGTGAATGTATGAAGTGTATGAAATCTCCACACTAATTGTAAGGATTGGCGGAAAAAATGTGATCGGAATATAGCTAGCATGGAATTCTGCATTCATAGCAACGTTATCAGGTTTACAATGTCTGTCCAGAGTTGTAAACTGAATGAATAATAACTTCCTTATAAAGCAGAAATTTTACTTACTGACACTAATACAGAGAGAATGTCGAGCTTAAACCTGACTCTGATCTGAGATTTAAATCACATGCACAGATAAACTGCAAATCAGAGCTGCATAAAAAAAAAAGTCTTTGATGATGTACGAACTACTCTGTGTCTGATTCGTGATGTAGAAATAAGTGGAGATTTGAGCAGAAATGATCAATCAGCTCCAGTGCGTGAAGTCAAGCACCAGTCTACCAGTACCTCATTTACATGAAGCACTCCCTAATTCATACAGAAGTTTCAGTAGGCAGCCAATGAAACAAGAACATTCTGTAGATCGTGAGTCATCTTATAGGTGGTGTTTGAGGTGGATCAGGGAGTGCACTTGCTCCTCCTACAGAGCAAACTTTATAGTGTTAAAATAAAGGACAACTGCAAAGAATAAAATATGAAATAAACATTTTAAAGGTGCAAGATTTAGTGGCATCTAGCAGTGAAGCTGCAGACTGCAACCAACTGAATACCCCTCCCTTTCCAAGCGTGTAGTAGAACCTACGGTGGCTGTCAGGGTTTCTGCCATCGCCTGTCCCGATTTCGTTTTGCTTGTTCGTGTTTTTGCTTCTTTGCCGATTCACCCTCCCTTGCTTTTTTTTTGTGGTAAATACTGAATATGATCCCCCATTTGTCAAAAATGGTGCACAAAATGTTTAGCCAGCACTGGTAACAACCACTGTTTATTCTATTATTCTGTCTTCCAACTGGTGCTATAGCACCACCGAATTCAAGCTCCAGCTTCAACATAAAAACACAAAAGGCACTCTCTAGAGCCCTAGAGCCAGTGTTTGGTTTGTCTGATCAGGGCCACTGTAGAAATATGGCAGTGCAACATGGTGGCATCTGCTGGAAGAGGACCTGATCCCTATGCAGATATGAAGGGCTCATTCTAAGCTAACGAAAACACCATTTGTAGTTAAAGGTCATTATACACTGATGAAAACATGGTTTTGTATTCTGTACACCATTTCTGCTAATAGATCCCCCTAAATCTTACACACTGCACCTTTAAGACAGTAGAATGTACATGTAAATTAAGTTCAAGCACTTTTGTCCTGGATTGTCATTTGCACAAATTATTAGTATTACTGAGATTTTCTGTTTTATTCTTATTATTGGTATTATACTGATGATAGTTCTGGTTACTCAGCCGCAAATCAAGCAGTGTTTTTCAGGTTGTTAAACTATTACACTAAAACTGAAGATGAAACAAATAACAAAACTGTCAGTAAAATTTGAAAAACTAATGCACTGGGCTGAAAGACCAAAATGCAGCAGTCCCAGTTCACAAACCCAGATGAATAAGCATATTACTTGTCTTCTTTTAATACATTAAAAAAGGATTTTGAGCTGCATTCTATATATAAAGGGACTATTTAAATAAATGTTTTCTATTGTTGTTGTTTATGTACACAACCACAGAATCGAATTATTCATATTATAATCTGTCAAACAATAGATAAAAAAGAAGTGTGTCCCATATCAGCATGTCTAGTCTATGATGCTTTTTTACCAGTCCAGAGTGCAGTAAGTGTACTGTGACTGTAGTGCTTCACAGCAAAAAGCAATCTCAATATGAAGAGGTACAATGATTTTTTTTAAGGGGTGCAGCAACCACTTCAATGTGCTTCTATTTTAACCTCCCAGTGAAGTGCATCCAGTTGCAGTCATTCCACACAGTTCCAAGCATTAATAAAACTATACAAAGTTTAGTATTAAAAAAAATCTCATAGAGTGAAAGACTGGCACTAAGTGAGCAGACATGACATGTGGGATTGGCTACACTGGACAATACAGCATATCTCTTAAGAAATCAACTCACCTTCAATTGTACAACACTTCCCCCTGCTGGTGCAGACAGTGATCTTCCAATCTGACTCCTGACCGTCATTAGCACCCTGGCTGGAACAGCCAGAGTCAATTACAGTCAAAAATGTTTAAAATGACTAGAAGAGCTGAAAATAAGAGGACACAAGTGAACACATTCAGTGTGAGTAACAAGGCGAGGAAGGATAAAAAAGGAAATGCACTTAAATTGCATTATGGAATATACATTGCAGGGAATTTAAACACGCTTCAATATCAACAGATATTTCTGCTGCTGTTAGCAGAAACAACGGGACCACTTCACAAACAATAAAATTGCTGCTTTCTGTTTTTATATATAATTTTTTTGTTCATCTTGTGTCCTTAGAGACCTGTATCATTGGAAACGTTCTGTTCAATATGATATACTGTGGAAAAATGACAGGTTTTCAACATTACTACAGCAGTCAGAGTCAGGGGAATCCTTTAGGTACAATTACATTTTTCTGCTCCATTTATTGTCAGGAACAGACCTACGTTGGACTTTCATTAACCTTTTAAACTAACAGATGATTGGCTTATAAGGCTGTATAGGTTACACTGACTACCTAATGGTGCATAACTTTTAAACCACTGATGAACATAAACAGCTGATATCCATGATCTCTCAGCATGAGCTTTGTTTTCATGGAAGAGCCTGAGCTACAGTAACTAGTCCGAGAGCTCCATGAAACCAGGGGTTGCCCATCTCTGCCTTAGACGAGATATCCTTACATTTACTGCACATGGGCTTCTGTCTGGACAAAACAGAATCATTCTTTAGTTTTGTAATCTGACAAAAGAGGCTAAATGGAGGAAGCGTTTAGCATTTTTTCTTCCATGACCTTTAGACACTGTAAGCAAGTGAGGGGGAAAAACAATCTGTGGGGTTTTCATAAATTTCTTTATTTCAATCCTCTGGGGTAAATGCTTTACATAGATGGGCTTTTCAACACACAAGGGTTGAGGAAATGGACTGTGTATGTGTGAATGTAAACCAGCACAAAATGAATAACAAGCACATCAGCTCACATGGCACAACAAGAGTTTCTAGAAAAACAGTGCACACTTCTTAAAAAGATTGCATAATACAGCAAATCAATTCAACAGAAACAAAAATGTTTCTCCAGTGTTCAGAAGCAGTTAGACATATCACATACCTTCAAAAATAAATACTGCGAGTTTTATTTTATCCAACCTAAGGAGATCAATGAGGCATCACTGAATCTGAGCTCTAAAAATAAAGGGCTAATAAAACCTGATCTCTGTGCAATCCTTGCATTAAAGTGAACCAGATCAGCCAGTGGATAAATTCATTCAATTTGCTTCCAAATTGTGCAATCACAAATTTTCTAATAATTTTTTTAAAATCTCGATTTCTTTTTTTTTTCTCAAGGACCTGGGCACTAAATGAAGAGAGTGCAAAGCAAAAGCATTCTACAAGGTTACATATTAGTGGCTACATTTTACTGCAAGACAATTCTGAGTTCACAAAAGTGACAACACCGATATTGCAGTTAGCCATGAAACACCATTTACAGAAAGCAGTGACCACACAGACACAGGTAATCATATATTGCACTTTGGAGGAAATTAATAATTCAGTTAAAGATAGATTTCACTGGACATACCCCAACCCAACCTGAATTCAAGAAAGGAAAATCAATGTCACTGAGATGTTCTACCATACCAGTATAAGAGGCTACATTTGTGCAAAAATAAAGCTCATTTTGTAAAAAATAGCAACTCGCCACTCCCATGCACTTCAATTCACAAACAAAAGCAGTACTATCACACTAAGGAGAACAATTCCAACAACCTCCAACACATTCACATCAAATTACTGATTTTATTATAATTTTTTGCAGATGCTAAAAGCACACAGCTTCTCTAATGTGAATTGGTCTCACTGCTTTGAATACACTGCTCCTGGTGTTATGGGAAAAGTGTTTTAAAAAATTATCATAATAATAATAATAATAATAATAATAATAATAATAATAATTTGCTGCCTCTTAGAAAGTGTTACAAATAAAATTGGTGAACTCAATGACAAAAGTCTGTAATGTGCAGCTGGAGTTAGTGAAGTGTAAATATTTTAAGTATAAATATTTTAAAAGCCCTCCAAAACCCAAATTTAGTATAAATAAAATATAGTATACAGACATAGTAAATTCAACACAATGCACCACCTTAACACATAGATTACAATTTTTGAGGACTGGTTCAAGCAAGCTGTTACTACTTCCTTCTTCTCACATTCAGGGAGAGCTGTATCCCAAAAACTGTTTGTTTTTATTGGGTAGTGAGGAGAAAAATACTGAATATGTACAAAAGATTAGCAACTCCTAAATAAGCCAAAACAGACATCAACAATTTTCTACAAGCAAATTAACCCGCAACATCTTTAAGCAGCACCTTGTTTAAGAGACCACCTGGCTAAAGCAAGGACTTTTAGACAAGATTCAAGGTGCAATAGAGGACAATGGACTGGTTGAGTTTCACAGCTTGAAGCTCATTCTGGCCAATCAGAATTCGGTTGCAACAGAGTTTGACGGGGATCATCTAAACCATCCAACAACCATTCCAGAAAATGCAATCTGGACATGAAAACGGTAACATTAATTTGTACTGTAACTCTACTGCTAATCACGTTACAAGTGGTATCTATAGGAGTGAAACTTTCCCACCATTTACAAAATTAAGTATGATACAATAATTCAGTTAAGAGCTCTAATGTATAAATCGTAAACTGAGCTTTAGCAACACATCTGGAGGTCAGAACTTGGACAGAAACATGACATCTCTATACCTCTCTACAACATACAGTGGAGGCAAAATGCATGGAGACCAAGGCAGACATTTTCTACAGGAATTAAGATTTATGAAGTTTAACACTTTATTGCAAACTCCACAACAATCTGGATGCAACACAAGTAGCTTTAAGAATAACATCTAGCAATAATCTGCTTGTTCTCCTTTTTAGAACGTTTTTAGAATTGTACATCAGTCTGTTAAACTGTCACTTGTCAGCTGAAGATGGTCTTATTCTGTCGTGTTTGTTGTGTTTGGTATGTGCCAAAAACTCACTACTAACCACATAACCCCCTTACCTCCTTACCAAATGCTTATATTACTCCCAAAAACTCAACAAAAAAGAGGGGAAAAGAGCTGATAAACTGTTAATATGCAGCATAAAAAAGGTGCATTCAAACCCGCATTAAAAAGTAAATTTTTCACTGTAAAGCTCTTAGGAACTTAATCTTTGCTACAACAGTATGATAAAACAACTTTAAACACACAAACAGTACTTCTAAACAAAACCGCATCATATTACTATCATGTGTTCAAGGCCTTGCTCACAAGTAATCACCTTTTAAATAATTAAAATGGAAACAGGAAAGAGACCTCTCACTTCAAAGTCTTCCGCACTGCCTCGAGGCCGTGTTTCCGTTTCTGATAGATCTGGAGTGCTACATGCGTCAGAGCAGAGTGCATGGGAACTACATTCTCAAGCTATTGTCTCAATCATTTTGGACATTTAAACTCCTCCAAAGGAAGGCCACCGCGCAAGTTAAAATTAAGGAAAAACAAAACAAAACAAAACAAAACAAAAGACAGCCAGACAAAGACACTGACAAAGAGGGGGAAAAGTTCTTATATTTGTGAAATTTTTTTCTTGCCATTGAGACCCTACTGGTCTGTACAGGTCCATGCCTTATCATCAGGCCTTAGTCTTTGGAGAGCTGGCCATGGTTGCAGGGCCTGAAACGTGTGCTGGTGTTTGAGGAGAGGAGTCCGAGAGCTCCTCTGTTGCAGCAGAGACAGAGGAAGCTCAGCATGCCTGGGTGGCAGGCCACCATTGGTGGGGTTGTGAAGCAGAGAGTCTCCACATGCTGGTATATCTCAGCAGCTGTGCTGTGGTACTCTGAAGAGGCCATGCCACCTTCAAGGCTGAGCAATGCAGCTAGATGATGTTTCTCCCTCGGCAACTCCCTGTGCTTGGGAAGGGTCAAGCACATGCAACAAATCCTCAAGCAAAAAGAAAACTTCTTGATTTCCTTCCTTTGTCCCATATCTATATACAATAGATCTAGCAATAGATCTCATGCTACAGACACCAAAAGCACCTTTTCAGCGTTGATGTGAGCAAGCATTGGGGTGGTTAGGCTGCAGACACAATGCTTTGGTTCCGTCATGGTTCCTGATGGCATGAGATCTTTTCCATGAGTTTCTTTCTTCATTTGTGATTGATTCAACACATGTCATCACAACAGCAGGAAGGTAAGACTGAGACACCTGTTCACCAAGGCCAGTAAATAAAAGTGCATCTCCTACTGGGTGAGAATCTCAATAATAAAATAAAATTCCTCAAAAAAAATGGAAAAAAAAAAAAATAAAAAAATACCACAAAGAATGTAAGTCAGCTGAGACACACATGATGCCATCATGCTGGCTGTGTCAGTGCCTGTGCCAACTCCATGGGCCTTTGGACCCTCATCAGTGTGCACCTCGTATGGGGGCACTCATTATCTGGAGTGAGGAGAGTGGCACATGTACAAAGAGAAGGAGAGAGACAGGGAAGGAGCGAGAGAGACAGAGAGAGAGCTGAAAGGGCTCACAGCTGGTGCACAATGCTGTCAGTGTGATTGAAGGACGCTGGGCCATCCTGACGGAGCCGTTGCCACTGGAAGGTGGTGCTGAGAGAGCCCACTTCCTCCTCTTCATTCTCCTGCTCTTTAGCAAACTCCATGAAAACCTGACATATGTACACACTATTAACCCATGATCACGCAAAAAATAAGGAAAAAAAAAAACTAAATTTGATCTAAATTCTAATGTAATCAAAGACATGACTAGAGTTGCTGGGTTGTGATATATTATTGAAAAGCATCACCAACCTGCTCCAGTGTGCACTGAGAAAAGTTATACTCTTCAAAGTTGAAGTTCTGCTTAGCTGCACAGAGATAGGAGTGCATGTAAAGTCAAAGTAAATAAAAGGAACAAAATAGTAGTTATTATGTATTAAAATTTAGTGTTCTGTGGGCACTTACCACTCTCTAACCGAGAGAAAGCCTGGGCCAGTGATTTTACATCCTCCATTGGAATCTTATAAACCATCAGAGTTGCAAAGCTGCAACACAACAGGCAACAAAGGAAGGTTATCAGAAGTAAACAGACATTATGCTCTTTCACTATGCTGTTCTCAATACACACCTCTCCTGGCGTGCAGCATGAGGGAAGATTCTTAGTATCTCCTTGTGCAGTAGTGCCACCTGCTGGAGGCCTGTGAGCTCTTCTCGTAGCTTAATCTCAAGACTATAGCCTCGACCATACTTAGCCTTTAGGTGCTGGATGGAGCCAATGCACCTGCAGAAACATGAATTATGGACTCAATTTAATTTAAAGATCTTTTCATTATGGGGCACATGCACACATTCACATTAAGCAACCTAAAATACTGGTGCAGAGCATTCTGAACGCTGATAATATGCTCGGAAGTGACTGTATAGATGTGGCCAAAAGTTGAGACTGACATAAATTATGGTTTTTACAAAGTTTGCTGCTTCAGTTTTTATGTTGGCAGTTTGCTGCTTCAGTTTTTACGTTGGCAATTTGCATTAACTCTAGATTGTAAGGAAGAGTGATCAGATGAATTGCAATTAATTGCAAAGTCATTCCTTGCCATGAAAATGAACTTAATCACAAAAACCCCATTTCCACTGCATTTCAGCCCTGCCACAAAATGACCTGCTAACATCATTTCAATGGGCGCCCAAGAAAGTCCAGCAAGTGCCAGGACTACCTCCTAAAGTGGATTCAGCTACGGGATCAAGTCACCACCAGTACAGAGCTTGCTCAGCAATGGCAGCAGGCAGGTGTGAGTGCATCTGCATACACAGTGAGGCGAAGGCTTTTGGAGGTTGGCCTGGTGTCAAGAAGAGCAGCAAAGAAGCCACTTCTCTCCAAGAAAAACATCAAGGACAGACTGACATTCCGCTGGAACTACAGGGATTGGACTGCAGAGGACTGGGGTAAAGCTATCTTCTCTGATGAAGCCCCCTTCAGACTGTTTGGGACATCTGGAAAAATAATTGTCCAATAGTATAAAAGGTGAGACCATTCATGTGTGGGGTTGCTTCTCATCCAAGGGGGTGGGGCTCACTCACAATTTTACCTCAAAACACATGAATAAAGAATGGTATCAAAACATCCTTCAAGAACAACAACTCCCAACAATCAAGGAGCAATTTGGTGATAAACGATGCTTTTTCCAGCATGATGGAGCACCATGTCACAAGGCAAAAGTGATGACTAAGTGGCTCGGTGAACAAAACATTGAAATTTTGGGTTCTTGGCCAGGAAACTCCCCAGATCTCAATCCCAATGAGAACCAGTTGTCAAGCCTCAAAAAGCAGGTGGACAAACAAAAACACAGAAATTGTAATAACTCCAAGCACTGATTAGGCAAGAATGGGTTGCCCTCAGTCAGGCTTTGGCCCAGAAGCTGATATCCAGCATGCCAAGGCAAATTGCAGAAGTCTTGAAAAGAAGGGTCAACACTGTAAATATGTCTTTGCATAAACTTGATGTATTTGTCTGAAATGCTCATAATTGTACTTCGGAATACCATAAAAACATCTGACAAAAAGATCTAAAAACACTGAAGCAGCAAACTTTGTGAAAACCAAAATTTGTGTCTCAAGTCTCAAAACTTATAGCCACAGACGGACGGACAGAGAGGAGAGCGGAACTAACCGTAGCTGGCCAGAAACCATGATGGCCACTCGGTCACACACAGCTTCCGCCTCTTCCATGTAGTGAGTGGTCAAGATGGCACCACGCTGTTTGTTCTTAAAAGCAGCACGTATCGCTCTCCTGGCACAAGGGACAATTGTAATATATTAGAGCAGACGTGAAGCAGGAGGTGTGTTCTATGAAAGTGTACTGATTGCATGGGTTATAATAACAGGAGACCCTAATGCACAAATTAGATTACATTACCTAATTTAGAGCTTTCAGCAGACATGCTATGTGCATGTGATTATCTGCTGAAATGGCTGTGCTGATACATTAACCTTTGACCAGGTTTCATACTCATTTTCAATAAGTGTCTGACTGGACCAGTCACATATTCAGTTTGTCAAAAAACCCAGTCAACGTAATAAAGCTTGGGAAAAAAAATCAAACGACATCTGAGAATTGCCATCTACTGTCTACATATTCAGAGCTATAGAAGTATATATCATAGCTATAGAAGCATACATAGTTAAATTAGAGAAAAGCACAAAAATGTGCATAGTGTGCCGACTGGGAACCCTTTATATGGACAAATAGACATAGAAGTATAGATGGTTGAGTACAAAATGTAGTACAAAACAATCTTACCACATGCGCTGCTTAGATTTGGGGTCCATACCAGATGAGGGCTCATCAAGAAGCACAATCTGTGGATTCCCCAGCATGCTTAGAGCAAAGCACAACTGCAAACAAACAACAAATACACAAAAAAGCAAATCCTGTTATTGAGAGCTCTACTGAGGCATGATCAAACATAAAAACCAAAACCAACAATCAAACATGAAAATGTTACTACACAGAAATACTAGTACATGTATCTGTGGACCAGATTTGCTGAGTTTTAGTGTTTGTCTCACCTTTCTCTTGAGGCCTGCAGACAGGTTTTTAGCCTGTTTATGAAGATGCTCCTTTAACTCCAGTGCATTAACCACTCTAAGATCACACAAAGACACACATATAAATGTCTCTCTCCATGTGCACAAACTAAACTCACAGACCAATATTTATCAGAGGTTGAATACTGATCTATATCTGAGTCTCCACTGGGACATTTAACTATATTCTCAAAAGAATATAGGCCCTCTTTCTCTCTAAGCATTAATATAGGATATAGAGGTACCGTCTGATGATGTTTGGTACATCATTGTGGCGTAAGCCCTTAATGGCAGCATAGATCTGGAGGTGCTCTTGTAGGGTGATCCTAGGCCAGAGAGGGTTCACCTGAGGGCAGTAGCCTACATGCTCAAGTGGGTTATCCACTGGCCTGAACTCTGTGCTGTAGTCTCCCATCAAAATCTGCAAAACAGGATGTGTATACATGATAATGTATGTATGTATAAAAGTGTTTTATTTAGCCCTTTTAGAGACCATTAAAAATTAGAGGCTGGTAGTACACACTTGTCCTGCAGTGGGATTTGTGTCTCCTGAGAGCATGTGCATGATCGTGCTCTTCCCTGCTCCATTAGGCCCCAGAAGTCCCAGCACCTCACCTGAGCAAGAGCCACAAGAGAGGTAACATTAGGTTAGCACGCACAATACTAGGTGGTCATTTCATGCATGGTACAGGAAGTCAGAAAAAATATGCATCCACCTTTTCGGACACAGAAGGAGATATTTTTAGCAGCCACTTTTCTTCTCTTTCCAAGGGAGAAGCCTTCTTTCTTTCCAGAGTACTGCTTGCGCAAGTTACTCACTACCACCACAGGTTTCTAAGCACACCACAAGAGAGACAGTCTACATCAAATGTACTTTTTCAATGTCTACAGTACTTAGGTATATCAAAAGTAAAGTGCAAATGTCACCAGAGCTCAGACAGTAAGACTGAAACATCTTTATCACTATTGATTTAATATTGGGGCAGTCAGTACGACTTGGCACACTACCGGGAGAGCTCTGGCATTAGAAATTTATGGTACAGCTTGACTGTTGTATGAGAAAAAGTTCAGGATTAAGCATCATACTGCCCACCTCTTCACAGCACTGACAAGTAAGGGCCTCTTTCACTCGAGCCTTCTCCACCAGAATATCCTCATCCTCATCCTCGTTTTCCTCTGGGTTCCGCTGCACTTTGCCCTTGGCTTTAGAAGAGATCCTAAAAAGAGAAGAGCCAAAAATCAGCAATGCAAACTTTAAAGGGGTTTAAAATGTAGATTTCCTAATTGACTTCAGCAAACACCCAAGCAACCCCACCCACCCACCCATCATCATCATACTGATATTAGGCATCCTTAAATGGTTTACATAAACGGGGTGTTTCTTCTGAGCACTTTACCTAGACATGCTAAATACAGCCCAAAATTGTAAGTTACAGTTGCTTGTAAGACTGAAAAGGATCCTAAAAACAAGTACTAAAAATGCTAATTAGGACTCTACACCACTACATGAGGTAAATTCTCATTTTCAATATCCGGATAAATAAGTGGCATAACAATAGATGCAATTTGATAATTCAGATTACTTCATGACAGTATTAGACAGACACACAACTCCAAAAAATCTACATTAAATTATATATGACTTGCTTCTTTGATAACAAAGATAGCCAGCAAGGGCCAGAATGGCCACAAACCAAAACCCACATGGAAAAATAATACTCTGTGGCATGATAGCTAGGGCTACATTGAAAAATTCTGTGTCATTCAGTACCCAAGTAGTAAGTCATAGCATCCATGAGCAAATAAGCATGCTTGTTCTGAAGTGTAGACTGTTAATTGGCTAATTTACATTCTGTAAGCATGTTCTTGATTAGTCTGTAATCCGTTGCAGTGAGTAAATATATCACTTCCAACACCTCACACTCTTTTCTGGTTTAAGCCACATTTTCTTTCAGTTTGTAATTAAAAAGAACACATCAAAAAAGAAGCATTCATGTTTGCAGTCTGTACAGGTTGTTGAAAGATAACAGACTGTTGTGTATTTTTCTTGATTCTGTTTACTAAGAACATGCTGCCACACCCTGCCTTTGCCAATAAACATCTCTTTGGATTTGCACTCTCCACTACAGATTCACCCACCATGGGCAAAATGGCAAATACTGATCACATCGTAAAGCACTCATTCCTCACTCAGAGTGTCTGAGAGTCACAGGAAAGCACATAACAGTGTTACTCTTGTTACACAAATAGGTAGCCCAAGCTTGTGAGGCAGAGACTGTAACATAGGTATTGCAGGAGATGTGTTTTATTTTAACCTGCACAGTTGGTCATTCTTCATAGTCTGGCCTCCATAGCGGATCTCTAACCACCGCAGCAAGAAGAGCAGCAGAATGCATTGGAGGTAGGGCTGAAAAACAATTTATACAAAGTAACAAAATCATGAAATATCTGTAAGATGCATACACATATGCAAAGTCTGAGAAACTCACAGCTATAACAGCAATAAGTAGATTCTTCCAAAGGAACTCCTCATGGAAAGACAGAAGAAAGGTGGCCTGAAAGATAAAATATTTAATAAATCTCCCATTATGCATACAGCACAAGATGACATTAACTCAATTTTAAACTACAGGCTAAGGTAGCCTAAGGGCCACCCATATTACTTTCTGTGCAAAATACAAATCCTAACCAGTCTCTTATGAACATGTCACTTTTCCCAGACTTTCAGATTTTCTGATGCAGAATTGTCCAGGCTGATGAATCTGATGTAATTAATTATTTGAAGAATGAATACTGTGAATAATATCAAACTGCTCACCTTGGTAATGCAGTTGAGGCAGGCAATCAGGGGGTATAATGGATTGAAGAAACATAGTGTGTTATGTAGGGCGCGTGTCAGGCCAGGATTATCATTCACAAAGGCCAGCTGGACCATGGAGGCGGAGACTACACACACCTGAGACACCATACATACAGAGTCTGTTTTAGTACTACACAGCAGTATTACTTCCAAGAAGTTCAGTGTTTAAGTTAGGCATGCACAATGACATCGCAATCGTACTGGCATCAGACAGATGTATTGTACTCTAGAAGATTAGGCAATGCTGGGCTCCAGTGCTAAAATCTTTGTATTTTATTCATTTTACTGCATTTGTAATCCTCAACAAATAAAGTGCTACACTTCTATGTAAGTCATATCCAGATGGAGCTAGTCCTAGTTTCTACATTTTATAAAAGTTTATGTATAAGCATCAGTAGACGCATACATGAAAAATACTGGATATCGGACCAAAATCCTCACATCGGTACATCTCTAGTTTAAGCATCCATCAATCTTTTTGAACTCCAACTTACAACAGAGCTGCTCATCCCTGATCAATCATTATTTCAGACACTTATTTTTACTGACAGGTTGATCTCAGTTTGTGGCGATTTCTCAGGCTGTGACTCACCATCATAGAGACGACAGAGAAAAAGTCTCTGTTGCTCTGGACTTTGGCAAACATGAATGAGACGCAATAGGTGAAGAGGATCATGGCGGGGCCAAATCCTATTAGGCAGAGAATCTGAAGACAAACAGCACAGATAGACATGAGCTTCAGCATATACAAGATCCAGTATGTTTGCTCATGCAGTATGTGGGCTGTGCATTCTATAAGAGCTATGAGACTGCAAATAAAACACAGTAAACAACAAAACAAATACTGTAGTGGTGCAGATTGATACAAAGTTGTAGACATAAGCATGTGTTTGGGCACCTGTGCGTATTGCTACGTTTGTAATGACGACGGCTAGTCAACAAACGTCAAGACTCATTTTAAAATAAGGCTAAATATTAGTGGCATTTCGTGTGTAGAGCACAATACCAGCTAATATAAATACAATAAATCTGTCTTATCTGCTATGTAAATATGCAAATAGATATACTTCTATTCCTACTCTCTCATACTTTACTCTAACTTGTGCCTACTTTTTTATTTCTGCCTAATATATGTAAGTTTATGTGCTATTATATGTCTTGCTGCTGTAACACTGCAATTTCTCTTTGGGATCAATAAAGTTAAATGAATACATGTGTATCGTGTGTGTGTAGTTTCCCTCACCACAGACATGATGTTGCTGTTGGACAGCAGGTTTGTGGAGTGGAAAGCGAACAACGTGCTTGTCATGCAGATGAGGATGAGGTAGTAGAAAGGGATATCTACAGCAGCCTGCCCACACCAGTACGCAGATGGCACCATACCAGAAATCCTCAGCGTTGAACGACACTTTATCTAAAATAAGCGCAAAAGATATCCTACTTTTGTCACACTCAACTCTTTTGCCATCACAATCACTGAATCGGTATGCAGATAACAACCCGTTACACTAAATTACATTCCACTGAAAAAAGCAAAGAAAGAAATGCCACCAGATGGCATGAATAATGTCAAAGCTAAACAATACAGTACTGTCCAAAAGTCAGAGACCACTGTTTATTTAATATCCAGTCAAAACAATCATTAAGTTCAAGTTATTCCTTGTTCAGTTTCATATATTAAGCAGAAAATTACACAAAGGCTCTACAACTAGATACAATGGATTTCTTCAGTATTTAGTGGGTCTTCCTTTTCCTTTGTTACAGCTTCCATTTGTTTCAAAGAAGGGACATTTTTCCAAACCTCCAAAGATCATTCTTAGAAGTTGGTTGCGTTTTCTGCTTTTCACACTTCAAGTAATCCCATATTCAGACACAATATGTGACGTTGAGGTTTGGGCTCTGGGGTGGCCAGTTCCTTATTCTCAAAACACAAGCAGCTTCTTTGTTTGATTTGCAAATTTTCTTCCTTTTCTCAGTAACAGCTTACTGACAGCTACACGTCCTTTCAGACACACAGCATTGTCTTTATAGTGGAAGGACATACAGAAACACTTACAGATTTTTCAGATCTAAACCAACAATGGTGTTTGGATTTCCTCCCATCTCTCAAGATGAAAGCTTTAAGTACTGTTTATCTGATTGTGATAGTTTTGGTGGTCTCCATTTTGTCTTTTTTTTTTATTTTTTAATAAACGTTTATGAACAACAGTTCTGTTTTTTTACACTTAGTTTTCGCACTTACTCATGTATTTTCCTTTGACTATGCCATGCTTTATGCAAATGGATTATCTTGCATATAATATCTAAAATACATAAAAAATTAATAACTGGTACTTAATGGCCGTTTTGACTAGAAATAAAATTAAGTATGGTCTGTCAGTTTTGCACAGTACTGAACGTGAAATCAATATATGGCTTATAAGCATCTCTACATATATGATTACCTCTCGATCTCGCGTGTGGTCCATTGCAAAATAGGCTGGCATGCCAGCTGCCAGCATACCCAGTATCACAGCCTCAATGTAAACTAGAGCATAAGACGTCGAGTCTGGAATTTGCTAGGATACAAATGAACAGAATAATCATTTTGTACTTTAAAACTACACATACTGAACCACTACTTCCTTTCCATCATAATATTAATGAAGATATGGATAACAGTGTGAATTTAGAGGAATTCTGCAAGACTCACATAGTCAAAGGGTTTGGACCAGGTGCTGATATGCCCAGTACCATTGAAGCCTCTGAGCAGGGCATTACTAAGCACATTCACCACCATTGGCAGAGAGTGCACTGTGGTGCTGTTGAAGGCTAAAATGTAACTAAAACCCTACAGAGAGAGAGAGACACACACACGACAGAGAAATATTTACTAGTTTATCACTTACTTCAAATGAGGACCAAGGCACATAAACACAAACAGAAAAGAGAAACAGAGTAGGATGAGAACATTAGAAGCATGTGTGAAAGAGGCTAAGAGGGATTCAAATTCTGCATCATTCTGCCTCTCCTCCCAGCTCGGCCTCCAGCTCAGAGATCCAAGGGCCACTACACAGATAAGAACTCTTAGCCACAGATACACAAGCAAAGCCGTACTGCTCTACAGCTCTCAGCCTGAGAGGATCAAGAGCTCCATTTAGCAGCTCCACCTCACTCCAACTTAATATGCTTCCCACCCACACTTGAATGCATTAACTGGCTTATTTAATCTGCAAACACAAGTCAAGATAAGAGTCAGAGGTAAATGAGATCCTTTTATGGATACACTAAAGTTGACATCTCTAAAGTTATTAAGTGCTTCACAAATAGCAGTTTTAAGTGAAACCCTGAACCTGGATCTTTACATGGAACAAAATCTACCTAAAATTTTCAACTGATCCACACTGAAGCTGTTCGAAGCAAAAGCAGTCTGTTGCTGGGCGAGTTGCTATGGAGCGTGTTTTAAGTGTGACTCACCTTACTGGAGCCTGTTACATTGACAGCAGCACTGTGAGGTGCAGCAGACATGTAGTCCGGTTTCCTCATCATTTCCACCTTAATGTCCTGAGCTTCCAGAGTATGAACAAAGCCTGATATATCAGAGTCTACCAGAGAGGATGCAAGATGAAAGGAAAGCTTAACCCAAAAAACTCAACTAGCAAATAAATAAAGGCTAGCAATGGCAAGTCAGCATTATGCAAATTATGTTACCACATTTTGTAATTAATAACTTTAATTAAACATTATCTACAAATAGGGCAAAAATATTGTTCAATTGATCATTAAATAGTCTGCCTGTCCTGCCTTTCTGAAATCAATAAAAGACCCTTCTATCCAAGAAAGCAGACAGACCAGACGAGTTCAGCACGAGCAAGCTGGTGGCATATTTGCGAGGGGCTTCGTTTCGGTGGAGCAGGTAGATCGGCTGGAACTGTCTGTCAGGGGAGTGGATCTGAATATTCCCTGTAGCCAGTGAAAGAACCAGCACCGCAGTCAAGAAGACCAGGAATAGCGTCACACTGATGTATGAACAAGAAATTAATAAGAGAGAGTGCGCAGGAGTGCGCGAGAGAGAGAAAAAGAGAGAGAAAAGAAAAATGAAAAAACAGGGAGAGAGAGAAAAAAAGACAATAGTATGACTCAAAAGGGAATACAGGGGAAAAAAAAAAACTCATTTAATATTTAAAAGTAATTGCTACTGCAAAATAAGATACTTTTCTGTTACGAACTGCCTGCACTCACTTATAGATGATGGGTTTCCTCTCTCTCTGCAGGTTGAGCATATGGAGCCAGGCTACAGTGCTGAATTGCTGCCTCCACAGGGCATGGCCCTTCACTGCATCCTGCCTGCTCTCTGAGAAGGTCAGCAGCCTCTGGTCCATGTCGTCCAGAGAAGATGCATCACCTTCCTCTTCCACCTTGTCCTGGTTAAATACACTGTAGTCTGAAACAGAACAAGAGACAAGTTCAGGTCAAACTCGTACAGAGTTTGTAAAGCATCTGAAAGGATCAGGTTTTGTGCTTTGCAAGCCTGTCACAACACTACGTGGCAAAAAGAATTGATCCAACAACACACTTTACAGTGAGATTTTTTTAAGAATAACTGGGTTTATACTCTACAAAATCACTCTTCCAATGGATCATAAACCTAATCACAGGAATAAGAGGCTACTGCTTCATGTCAGGGCTGCTGGAACCATGGGGGCAAGCAGGCATTTAACCCACCACTTTTTAAAGCACTAGGCTTACCGACAAAACAATCTGATCAATATAGAAACGTCAGCATGTGTAATCTGGTGCACTTTAGCCACAGCAGTGTGAAACCAACCGAGCCAAAAGAAAAAGATACAATATTACAAAAACCCAAGTTCTGATGCAGACTTTAGAAAATGAACTGGCCATGAAAAGAGCTTAACAACACTTTTGCCACTTTTGTAAGTGTGGCATCACCCCGACTCATTTTAGAGCAAATTTTAGAGCAGGGATACACTAATCCTAACCAAACCACAATACTGGTTCCAATACCTGAACTCACAATGTCGGCTGATGCAAAGCAGAGATGATATTTTTTGCTTCAATTTAAAATCTGCACCTCTTAATGTGCAGAAAAGAATCACATAAGAAATAAATCACTGCTCCGACAGTGTTAAAGGTATAGAAGGTGTAAAACCCACTGCTCTAAAGGAGGGTGTGCATGTCTTACCTGCTTGGTCCACTTCAGCTTCCGCCTCCAGACGTAAAAACACATCTTCTAACGTAGTCATGGAAACACCATAGTTAATGATGCCCAGATCGGGCCTACAGTCCAGCTCAGCAAAAAGCCCTAAATGCAAGATAAGAGAGGCATTTTTTTCCCATATTCAACCAAGCACATCTCATAACAGAGCAACAAACATCACCAACGACAAAACAGAAGGACAATAATAGCAGACTGATCACTTGTGTCTTTTTGTGACCAAGTAGTTTCTCTCTCTTGGTGGAAATTAAAACATTAAGAACATCTACTGTTTACCTGATTTACATCAATAGATATGTCTCTACCTTTCATTATAATGAGATACATTACACAAACCTGAGACATTTGCAGACCTGGTAATGCAAGCAAAACATCGTGTACACTATGCATGGTGCTGAAGCACCATGATGCTAAACTCACTAGTCAGCATTACTAAACTGCGAGGAACACTGTTATTCAGTCAAGCATAAGGCGGTTTGGTCTATAGCAGATGGTAAAGCAGAAGGTTAACAGAAGCCAGACCTGGAAATGTTTCCATGCTTTCGAAAGGCAGTGTGAATGTGAGCTCAGCCTCCTGTTGCCGTGACAACTGAGCCTTCGGAACATGTTGCTTGACCAATGAAGCGAGGCTGTCTACCTCACAGACTTCAGCCACAGACATCCTACACAAAGTGAAATCACACGTTTAGAAAAAAGGCAGCATCTTGATACCTTGTCACTTTTCCAAACACACACACACACACACACACGCCTTAGGAGGGCTGAAAGGAGCTGTTTATCACACATCTAGACACCACATCAAGGAGTAGTCATTAACTATGTTGAATGATATTGGCCCTTTAATGTTTTTATGCAATTCCAGACACTGAAATTAACAAGTTTCTGTGCTAAAGTAAGAGGTCTGTGTAGTATCAAAAACACCTGTTATTCAGCAGTTATGCATTCAACAATTAAAATACAAATAGTTCATGCAAAATAAAAAAAAAGAATCTTAAGTATTGTATTGCAAGTGTAACATTTTCAAGCCAAAATTTACAAAAAGTTGCAATGGTGAATATTCACATCTCTAGATCAAACTGGCAACTAACCCATGCCTTAAAAATCATACCTTAGCTGTAATTCTTAAGCTGCGCATGACATAGCATGAAACACTGACCTGAGGTGGTATCCAACTCCACACTTGGTTTTGAGGTAGAGAGACGAGCCCACACATTTCAGCTGACCTTGAGAGATGACTGCTTTACGATCTGTGCAATAGGAAGGTTGAAGAGAGGGAAAATAAAATATGATTGATGTTATGGTTTGGGCAGGGTTGGGAGGGACAGTTCAAGAGAATAATGAGGGCTTGACTGTTGTGTACCTGCAAGTATGTCTGCCTCATCCATATAGTGTGTGCTGAGGACAGTAACTCTGCCTGCTCGTCGACTCTTCAGTAGAGACCATACCTGGTGACGTGACACTGGGTCCATGCCTGCTGTGGGCTCATCAAGGAGCAGGATCTAAAGCATGCACACAGGTACATGCATGCAGACATTCATACATACAAACAAACAAAGAATGAATCCACTAAGACAAGACAATCAATGATAACCACATTACTGCACAGCTGAGCAAGTGTCCTCTACCTTGGGATCTCCTAGAATGGCAATGCCCACAGACAGCTTCCTTTTCTGGCCTCCACTCAGGTTCTTGGCCTGTGCATCCATGATCTTCTCCAAGTCCAGATCCTTCAAAACTTTCCTAACCTGAGGAAAAACAAGCACATTCTTACCTCAAAACACACAGAATAAAATTAACTGATAGTGTAACCATGACCATTTTTTTGGCTTTGCTGTGACCAGATCACATCTACATCCACTTCTCTTGAGACAAAGCTGTGAAGACCAAGTGGTGATATGTTCTCACCTCACTATCAATATCACAGGGCAGAATGCCTTTTATGGCTGCGAAGATCCTGAGGTGCTCTTCTACTGTCAGCACATCAAAGATTATGTTGAACTGGGGGCAGATCCCCACAAGCTGCTTCATCTCAGCCCCATCCGCTATCTCAGCCACCGGGGAGCCATAGATGGTAGCAGAGCCTGGGGTCAAAACACAACCAATTACATCTGACATGACACAAAGATCTTGCACCTCAAAGACAGCTTATAACAACTACCAGTTAACTCTGTACTTTACACATACTTAATTTTAAATAAGAGGAGACCTTAATGCTGAATAGCAGGCTTGTGTACTCAGAAAGTTAGTCAGCATGTTTTTTAGAATTACAAAATACTAAACATGTTTCACCAACGATCTCAAGTGGTTGGAAGGCATTTTCAATAATTTCACTAATTAAATTTGGGAACACTTAAATATGCTCAACTAGCAAAATTCAAATGAACAAAAAAATTCAAAACATTACAATATGCACTGAACTTTTGTGCTCAGACCAAAATAATCTTACAACAGACCAAGATCTGATAGAACCAGACCTTCTGTTGGAGGACAGATGCCACATAGGATGTTCATAAGTGTAGATTTCCCTGCTCCACTGTGACCCAACAAAGCTGTGATTTGACCCTCGTAAATGTCGAAAGTCAAACCTAAAAACAAACACAGTTTTTCTGTAATTATTAAAAAAAAAAAAAGTGATAACGCTATTATATATTAATAAAAACAAAAATGAGTCATAATATTTGACAGGCACACATCACATGTAAAAACAAAAAGAACCTGAGTTCACACAATGGTATATACCAGTGATTGAGAGATATACACACCACCCAAACACATATATACATATACCATTGATGCAGAGGTGTATATTGGGATTTCAGAGACACATATGCTGCCTTCAAAACAATGTCTATTCCCAGGAAGTCCATGATTATTTAAGCAAGACAATGCCAGGCCTCACTCTGCATGTGCTACAACAGTGTGGCTTTGTACACACAGAGTGCGTGTGCTTGACTGGCCTGCCTGCAGCCCAGATCTGTGTCCTATTGAAAATGTATGGTGCACCAGGAAAAGGAGAATCAGATAATGATGATTATAGACTGTTGAGCAACTGATTGAGCAACTGATGTATGCTCATAAAACACTCCTATGTTGTCAGTGCGGACTCGCCATTGCAGCCATGTGCAATCAAAGTGAGGAGGACTAGTGTAGCACGAACAACAGTTGGGGTCGCCATGTTCAAAGCTTTGGTTTTATTTTCGCTTTATACTGTAAGCTACATCAGTAGAAACATGCACAAAACACTCAAAATATGTTCTGCTTTGCTGCCATGTCATGTTAGTTCTGGCATAAATCTAGGTTGCTTTAGCCTAATTAACAGTGATCAGAGTACAGAGCTGATTAGCACACCAAGCTAGCTGACAACATGGATCTGATTGAATTTTAGACACGTGATCGTGTTCGTCTCAGAAATAAGATCTGAGTGGATTCCATTTAAACACAGAAAAATTAGGTGTTATCATCCTTTTATTATTTCACAGTCTCACTAACCGAGTAATAATACAGGCCTTTACATTCATTATTGCATTTGCTGACTGAAAGAACAGTAATAATCACTACAATGGGCTGAAAGCTTAAGGATTTTCTTGATGAGTTTGTCTTATTTGACTTCACAAAATATTTGGTGGGTCATGAGAAACACTTCCTATACAGGTCAGTTCTGGCTTGCCAAGTGTACCATTAAAATATTTTTCTTTTTTTTCTTTTTTTTTTACTTACTTAAGAAAAGACTTAGACATTAAAGGAGTGATGAACTAAGACCCTACCTCTTAGTGCCTCCACTGTGTTGTCCTTCTCTTTATAGGTTTTACGGATGTTACAGATCCTGAGTGGGTCAGGACAAAACACACACGCGCACACACACACACACAAACACACACACACACACACACACACACACACACACGATGGATATTAAATGACAGTTTTGGCAGCATGCCATGTCTTTCAGAAAGATGCTGTGGCACTGGCCCCAATCTCTGAGGGCTTTGTTGGATTTAAGCACAGCACACAGAGCTAGAGCTAGTGCTCACCAAATCTCTTTATCAGTTACCATAAGCCAAAAGGCATGAGCACTTTACTGCAGAACATCCAAACATGTATTTATGTGTTTACTTCCCCCTCCCAGGGAATGAAGTCGTAGCAAATTAGCAAAATCTGACATCTGCATTACCTCACATCACGGAGAAGCTTTATAAAGACTGAAATAAAATGTGGGGTTTCATGTATGTTTAGTAAGGTTTGTTTAGTGTGGGTTGCTGATAATGGTTTAAAAGGTTAAACTGGTACCTGATCGCCTCTTTGCCTCTAAACTCCGGAGAAACAGGCTCCACAGATTCATCAGCCGTAGGAGTTCCATTCACCTCTACCTCATACACAGAGCTCACTTCCACATAGCGCTTGCTGCGTGTCGACCAATAGGAGGGCTTCAGGAAGTAAATCACAGAACGCCTCATTCCAAACTCCCCTAAAAGAAAAATAAACAAATTACAAAGGTGAAGATTTATTGACTGATGGTTTCACAAAGCACATTTACACACAGATTGATTGACTACTGATACTTAAAAATACATTTATTGTTCCATTGATTATTGGCATACTATTTCACCCAAATAAACATCAAAACCTAATTTCCAAAACAAGTTATAATAGGTTGTCATCAAATAATGTGGCTTTGAGTCTCCTCTGCCAACCCCTGGAACTGAACCACAACGGTAAGGTATATTACTTTAAAAAGTCCTGCTTGTGGGAGGATGAGGACTATTCAAGACGGAAGTAAGGGATGTAGCTTTGAGTCTTACCTGGCATCACCTGGTCTAGATAAACAGCGAGCAGCAGATAGAGGATGCAGTCTAGGAAGAGCATCAGCAGCGGCACATACAGTGCATGAGGGCCATTAGCCAGAGTGGAGAACACAGCACCATCTCCTTGGGCCTCCAGATACACCACCTACACATAAATACAAAAATGATTTTACAACAACATATAGCAATGCCAGGGTTTTAAATTTTTTTTACAGGGTTTTTCTAGCGATTCCACACAAAATGGTTTTCTTGTGCATGCTGCTTTGACAGAAAAAGGTCTGTGAATCATCTGGACTTGCCTGAATAATAATAATTATAATAATAATAATAATGTCTTCTGTATTTAACAAATGGTTAACGGATCAGTTCAGTCAGCGAAAGCTAATGTTTCTAACAACAAATATAAGAGAACAGCCACTAATATGCATCATGAAATTACTGAAGTAGACTGGGGTTCAATCCCCGCCTGGGCAAGCACCCTACAATATACCAATAAGAGTTCTTGGGCAAGAGTCCTAGCACTACCTTTGCCTACCTATGTAAAAATTAACAAACTGTAAGTCGCTCTGGGTAAGAGCGTCTGCCAAATGCCATAAATATAAATATAATATAAATATTGTCAAACTTTATTGTTATTGATTAAATAATAGCAGATAACATTTTAGGAGACATTTATACAAAAATCCAAACAATTTCAAGGGTTCATATACTCCTTCTAACAACTGTTATACACCAGATGAATTTCACCTACATGTTATCCTGAAAGCAAATTGGTCCTTCATAACTTATACTTTCAGAAAAAAGGCGAATATCCTATGACAAAAAAAAAAAAACTCAAGTACTCTCCTTGATGAAGGCTCATGTCACAGAGGGACACTGTGTTTTTGTACTTTTTGGAAACTTACATTTCTACTATTAAATTGGCATAGACTTCTTGAAGTATAACAATGCACTGGTGAGAGGTTACCTGGGCAATGCCGATGGAGAAGGCACTGGGGGACAGTAGACAAAGCACCCAGACAGCTGGCTGGGGGAAATCCCTCATCAGCACAGTAAACAGAGACAGACAGCCAAAAACCAACGTCAGCATGGAGCCCATTGTACTCGCAAACTTGGGCTTCTTAAACAGAGGAGTGAGCATGAAGGAAAAGAAAATCTGGGGGAACACAAAAACATTGCTGTGATCTGTGTTGTCCAAAGTTCAAAAAGACCCAACTGATAAAAGATAATGAGAATAAATAATGCAGATACAAGTAATTTTCTTTTAAGCCCCTTGTGGCTTAGGAAAGCAAATCTCTGCATTTACAACAAGAGAGGTTTCTCAGACATTGCGTAAGCACCAAATTAAATCCTCAAGGGTTTTGAACAAAGTGCAAGGGCAAATCCACACATCTTGATGTTTGCTTTAGCTAAACCAAGGTTCTTATGCAGAACTTATGATAAGAAGTTTTAGATAACGTTTTTGAAGATGACATCCGTTCGGAAAACAAATTCCATAGCTTCTGCGACATATAAGCATTTGGATGTAGCTTACACAAATGTTGTACATACACAAATGCTTTTCAAGTATGCATGAATGAACAATATATGAACAATGAACCAAGTGCCAAACTAATGTTCTCATGCCAGTTACCTGAAAGTGTCCGAAAACGGTTAGAAAATGTACATTTAAAAAGTATAAATTGAACAAAGCGAAAAACAGAACTTTTGCAAATCTGTAACTCCTACTAGATCAAGAAATGAAGCAAGAGCCAAGGTCAATGGCTCCCTGCACCTTTTAGTATTTTCCCTGCTGCACACCTGCACCAACGAATCAACATGCCTTTTTAGAGTCACTCTGGGCGTGTTAGAGCAGAAAAAGTGCTAAGCTGTAAGGAAGAGGTATTCCAGGAAATCACTGGTTTAAAATAATTTTTGCTTATAGGTTTATTGCAACACACACACACACACACACACACACACACAGAGCAAATTAAGGACTTACAGTTGATATTCCATAGAGAAAGATTAGGAGGAAGATGACAAGGAAGTTGCTGTTGGAGAATAGAGGTGTCCATGTAGCGATAACAGCCATAAGAACAGACATTGTTGTCACCAGAGCGGCATAGAGAAGACCCCATGAGAGCCTGTGCAAACACACACAAACCCACAGTCAAATACATTCACGTACCAATCTCCAAAAACTCAACTGTATAATTCTGCAAAATTCAGCAAACCCTCTCATCTCTCCAGATTTTCACAACAAGCTGAATAATAGACAAAACATTCCTTTACTGGAAAACAAGCTTCAAAAGCTTTCTGATTACACTGGTAGAGCCTTACATTAAAGAAAACATTAAGTCAAAAAGCTCTTTACAATAATCCTTATCAATAACTATTCTAGCCCCATCAGTCGCCACACCTACCAAAAAGCTGTGTCATACAGCCCCATCATGCTCATTGTGTCTTTAAGCCGGTGCTCCTTCTCAGCCGCAACATTGACAATGAGGAAAGAGACGAATGGCGTGAAGGCCAGCACCAGATAGATTGAGATGAGTGCATGTGGGAACTTCTGGACCTCCACTGAGCCTGGGTGACCCATCATCACCACACGTACATTCAGCTCTCTCCACACTGAACGCTTCGTCTGCATCTGCACCAGACAAAGTAAAGATGGTCTGTGCATTCATCCTACTTTAACTAGTTTGCTTGGAATAGTGTTCTTCATGCATCAATGAGAAAACCTTTATACATTTCTAAAGGCTGAAAATGAAAGTAGTAACACTAACTTTTGTTGTCAACATAGAGATCTGATTTCAATAATGGGAGAATGTTCATTAAAAAGGAGGTAGTTACATGTGCATATACTCAAACTAAATATACACACATGTAATATTTCTGCCATCCTTACCTGGATGATAGCAGCGTCAATCAGTGACTGCAAGCGTATGAAACCAGAGTACCAGTAGTTAGCTGCACGGCAGTTCAAATAGTTGGCGTAGCAGTTTGCTGAGGGATGGGGAGACTCATTAAAGATTCCAAATATCATTTTTCTTCTTCTTCTTCTTCAACAACAAGACTCTACAATACAGTAATACTTCTTTCCTCTGTTGTTTTTACCTATGGACTCAGTGTAGTCACTAGGTGGAGGAAGCTGGTTGTAGGGGAACCGTAGCCGGTAGGACATGTTATCAAGAAACACCACTCCCACATAGCCTAGGGGTTCATAGAGGCTGGCATTCTCCAGGTCTTCCTCAGTAGAGAACATCTCTAAGCGGTCTTGCATATCTGAAAGAACAAATGCATAAATATATGCATAAGCAGAAAAGATGCTTTCAATTTCCTCTGGGCAAAAAACAGTTTCATTTCTGCTGAGAGGTTGCAGCAAGATGTGATGCATGGTTAGGCTTAGTTCATGTTTCCAGTACAGTCAAATTAGGTATTGGTCAAATCTTGGTATAGGGGAATGTTGCCTGTTGACCAATTATTATACTGATCGAAGCAATGCTCCTCTTGCTAAAGCAAAACCATCTGCACGGCACTGTGCCTTAGAACAGAGAATGATCCATCAGACTTACGTAGCTCTTGTGCCACTTCCTCCATAATCTGACTGGTGACATTTGTAATCGGGGTGTAACCCAGGCCTTTAAGTGATAGGTATGCATCATCTTCTAGCTCAGTAGTACTGATACTGCCATACGAGATGTGAGGATTCAGGGTACTGATGAGAATAAGGAGGCCCAAAAGGAGCAGAGGAAGGATCAACTCCTACACATAGAGACAAAGAAAAAGAAAAAGAGAGAGATAAACCAAAAAAAAAAAAAAGAACTGAAGAGACAACACAACGCTAATAAATAACAATAATAGCTCTACATGCCGCCATCATTCTATCAAAAATGATTTTCTATTAAGCAAGTTCCGTTACGCATTAATTAATTCTAATATATTTAATTGTTTTAATTTGAATTTATTTTATGTTGCTCTGCATATTGCAGTTGTACATGATTACAGAGCAAAACAAGAAACTGTACAATTTTTTTTTTCTTTTTAATACTGGCTATCCATTGTCTTTTGCATTCATCATGTAAGGCCTTTTGTACAGAGCAGAAGCAGTATTTGAAGGCAATCAAGTTGTCACCTAAATGTAAACGAAATACTACAGAAACTAAATCGATATACCACCATTTTAAATAAAGGCATTTTACTTAGAACTAGCCCACCTTACTTGTCTGAACCAAACATGTAATAACAGTTTGTTTGTACAAGCTGTGGCGTAAAATAAGTACAGTGCTGTCGGCCAAGTGTGTCTGGACATCTGTACAACTTTACTAGTCTGACTGAAATCAACCAGATGCTCAAGTCATAGCATAACTGTAGAAGATTCAAATGGGGAGGACCATATTTACTCTTTTACAAAATTATTTTAGGTTGCCTTCACTAGCATCACTGCACACAAGTGTCTTTACATCACTGAGCCTTGCATCTACAGCGTCAGTTTTAAAAGGATAAACATTTATCAAGCCTTGTTTATGTAAACGTTCAACTGGTAAATGGTAGAATTCCAACTACAGGGACATCTAAACTCTCTAAGCATTAAACTCAAACCATTTGCAATGCTGCTGGATCTAAAAACACACCTTGGGCAGCTATGTACATAAGTCAAGATAAGAACAAGGACACATTGTTGGATGCCAATGAGCAATTCGGACCCACACAGATAAAGTTTTCAAAATACTCAGGAGTCACAAATATTTCCAGCACATCATCCTCCATAAAATCAATAAAGTTTAGGAGGCACTTGTTGGCAAGAGGTCCAACAGAGAGCATTGTATAACATGCTGCACTTTTTCCCATTTAGTCCTATTAATAACTAGTGGAAAGAGGATTGCATCACAATACGGACAGTGACAGCAACACTGGAAGTGCAACTTTAAATGCACATGGATATTACTGGCAGCTATAGATGTGTTATTAAAGAGGGCGCCCATTTCCTTAACAGCCTATTCATTCCATGAGGCTTTCAGATACTCCCCCCAGGAAACATGCATGAAACAGGGAGATGCATTAAATATGCATTACAGCAACTTAAGTTAAAATAAAAAATGCATGACCCCTACCAAGAGACAAAAAAACAGAAAGAAATGCCTGGAGATATTTAATTTTTCTCACCCTTTCCAATATCAAAGGTGAGACCAGCAACCCTGCTGTGCTGTGAGAACAGCCCACAATGGCAATGGCAATCTTACAGAATAGAGCACTATGCCTTCAGAATCAGAAGACTGAGCAAAGGTTCTCCTGGGCACAGTCTTTTATATGCCTGGGCGTTAAGAGTTTCTCTTTGTTAAAATATATGTCATCAGAAATATCACAATATGCAGTGATACTGACTTCACAGATATCTTCCCCTTTAGCAGCCAATGAGATCATGAATGACTACGTAAGAGAATGAAAAGCTTCCATCCCTCATAAATAAATACATTGAAAATTCAAAATTATATAGAACGTCTTATTCCTTGTTCCTAAGCTTGTCTAGAATGCTGCTCCCAAGATTATTTTTTTCCATTAAATTGATCAAGTGAAGGTCTTTAAGTCATGAACTTAACATTAGTATGTGGCTAGTGGCCATGAAAAGCTAACGCTGACAACATTAAAAAGGAATTCCATAGATTTCTGCATAAATAAACCACTAAGGTGTCAATAATCATTCAGAGTGGTTTGATATGAAATGCTCCATTCCAGAGGAAACTGCCAATTCAGAACTATTCACAGTGGTGGTGATAGGAACCAGATTCTAAAACCTCTAAAAGCTACCTTACAGAAATTTGAAACATGCAATGGTTACAAATACATTGCCTGATGTCTGAGACATTGCCTTGTATTAGTTCTGAGATAAGTTTTTGGCCTAAAATGTATTTAGAAATACATCCAGAGTACTAAAAGGCAAAGGAATCTTATTCTTTCTTTTACCATTATTTGTCTATTACCAGCATTACATTAAACAACTCAGAAGACTTAAGGGTACACTAGTCACTTTGGATAGTAATTAAAATTAAAAATGCAAATAAAATTACTATATTCATGTCGTAAACATCATGACCCCTGAGGGGTATTTCACAAAGCAAGATGTCCCAGTTAGTCAGACAATTTAAGCCCAATTTAAGTTCAATACTGTCTAATAGGAATGTCCCTTCTTCTCCTATTAGTTAAGTTTGATTGCAGGCTTACATTTTCTGGTTAAACTAAGAAATACTGCTTTGTGAAATACTCCCATCACCACCATTATAAAGAATCTGAGTTGGTACGTTTCTCTATGACGCACCATTTCACATCAAAACACTCTTAACTTTGTTAACATCTCAATTAACCAAAAAAATGTTTAAAAATCTGTAGAATTCCCCTTTAGGCTACATGTTTACTGCAAGTGGCCAAGTAAGGAACAAAGGCTGAACTAACTACACATCAAGAAATAAAACAACTTAAGAAATACGATGCATGTTAAGAGCACAGTTCAGGGTACTCATATGTTGTTCCCAAACCGTAAGGAGGATTTCACAAGGATAATGGATAAACAAACTCTGATATACAGTAAAGAGCTCACATCTCAAGGACTTTGCAAAAAAAAAAATGCACAAAAATGCACCTGCAGACTTTGTTGCTTGGTTCTCCATTTGATCAGCAGATTTTTGTACAACAGGCTCCTCGTTTGATGCCAGACTCCAGCATCTCTTCTGTTTAGGGGCTGCATTCTTGTTGCATGCTTCAACAGGCTTGGACAGGGACGAGCTCGCACCTCGACGTTGGACACAGCTGCACAAGCAACGACAGAGATATCAAAACTAGCGAGCGTGAAAAAGAAAAGTGGCGCAAAAGTTGTTCAGCCCGCACCTGCAGTGGCCGCCGCACCGGTGTGGACAACCACAGTATTCGAAAGTCAATTTCAGACACTAAACCACTTCCCTAGTTAGCACAATTTTAGTATTTCTACTTAACTTAGCTGTTCGCCAGACAGGGAGAATTCATTAACCGCATAGCCCTACTGCCAATACCAGTGCTGTTGGCTGAGGAACCGCAGTTAGGCTGCTTTCACGCATTTTGCGATGCTGTACTAAATAAAACGTAATGTACAGCATTTATGTATTTATTAAACTTGTTATACTTCTTTGAAAGAGATACGCCAGCTAGCAAGTCACATACGCCGCGCACTGTTCACAAACTAAGCTAGGTGGTTGTTAGCTGCCAATGCTAGCTAACGCGAGCTAACGACAAAAACAAACTGTACTCTACGTTAAACTGTCAGTCACAAGAAACGGACTTACGTATGAAATACATTAAGGCATGTCTTTCTCCTAGGAGGCGTTTACTTTGTCAAAATGTAATGTTTTAAATGCTGGGCATGGTATCTTCTGCTTCGTCTTCCTTTTCAGCACTGCCAGTAAATGAAATACGTACACATACACAAGCACACACAGACATCAAGCTAAGCTAAAGCTAACAGCGTTGGCAACGGCGGTCTGTGACGCTGGCCAATCAGGAGCCCGCGTTCTCGCCGGGGTTAGATGCTTGGTTTTCATTGGTTGTTCATGCCTGCCAGTGACCCTGGCCTCAACCACGTAGGTGGGTAAGGGCTGGAGGTTTGCGAGCTTCATCTCCTTCCGATTCCTTCTCTCTTCTTTCTGGTGAAAACCTGAATGTCACCCACCCACATACATGTACTGTTCAGCGTCTCTGCTCTTAACTATCTGAGACGCTTGTGTCAGGTGATATACGCAATATTTTGGATCATGTATGCTGGGTCTGTTGTTCTTTAGATTTAGATGCATGTACGTTTACAGTAATTGATAGCAGGCTTGATTTCACTGAACAGGCTGCCAACAGAAAAAAAAACATGGAATCCAACACTTTACATATGTAACAGTATGGAGGCTATGAAAACAAGGCCTAACAGCACTTTTGCAGTAAGTTTTATTTGGATACAAATAAAAAAAAAATGTATAAAATCAAGAGTAGAAAAAGAGTATAATGTATGTATATGAAAAAATACACAAACTTTGAGAACATCAAAGAGAAGCAAGGTGATGATTAAAAACATCCTCTGAGGCTCAGGAATGTGATGAATACAATGTTGTATTGGTCTTGGTTCTACTGACATACACATCATACACCAAGGAAATTCAGTTGATGTAGCAACCTATGGCAGATGACTGTGGAAGGGAATCCTATTAGTCGTTTAAAGTAACGGTGTCATGCAAATGGAAAGAACTGGTGCTCAGAAACTTCTTTTATGAATGTGAGGCTATTACAGAAAACCCAGAATCACATATGTGCCTGCGTGTGAGGCAAAGAGAAAATTGTCAGAATATGTTTATGCAAACACAAGAGTTATGAGATATACTGTTCCCTTATGGAAAAAAAAAAAAAACAGACTAATGTCTGTGCCTGGGGTCATAAAAGCAAAGGTCAACATTTTGCTTTTAATACACTGAAGGAAATTTTCAAGGTGCTTTTTTATGACTTCCCAGAATCACATAATACATACATACACCATAAGGCCTGATCACACAGTTTAAACCAAAGGCATTAGAGGCAGGATTTACCCTCTGTCGTAATCATTAGGCTTAAAAGAGTTTGTTTTTTTTGTATTTAATCTTGGGCTGAGATGTTTTCATAGTTCAGCAATTTAGCAGATTAAAGCCTCTGAATCCTTGACAGTCAATGCACATTAATACATAAGTTGTTTGATTTACAAATGATTAAAAAAGAAAGTCAGCGCTTGTGCGCTGTGTGCCGGAGACAAGCTTCAAGGACGTCAACATAAATACAGACAAGAATGCAGGTGACTGACAGAACTGGCCATGAAGAGTCCCATCTGGATATGCAGGGGTTCCCACTTGACCCAGTCCATGTGTACCCAACACAAGGCAACAGTAAGGTTTCTCTGCTGGCTTTCAGTGGATTTGATACATTTACATACAGTTCAGCCACTGGAAGAACGAGAAACGGTCCAGTTTTCCAGGCTGGGAGTCTGTTAGTGCTGGTGTTGGGGCATGTTCAGTCTTTACCTCAGTGCAGTGCTGCTGCTGATTGGTAAGAGACAGGTCAGGGCAGGGGTCCCTCAGTGTTTGCGAGTGCGCTGGCCCCCAGCCCCTGTGGTGGTAACATAAAGGAGGGGCTGTGGCTGCCTGCTTTGGGGGCCACGCTTGAGGTTGTTGACGTGGGGGGGGAGGTTGACTGAGGAAGCATCTGCTGTTGATCCTACGAGGATTGAAAAGAGAAATAATACAGCTCAATCTCATGAACACGTTGAAATTACCTCCATAGCTTCATTGTACACATAACATTTTTGTGCATGGAAAACCTTGATACAAGCTATTAATTTTTCAAGAAAAGAAAACAGCAGAAAATTATTTAACAGAAAAATTACACAACACCAAGTATAATATCAAATTTATCAGTATTTAATTTGTCCACTCTTTACTTTTGTGCACCCAACTGTCACTTCCATCCTTCCAATCTTAACGTTTTGCATCTGTGTCTTCCCAACAAAGGTGTCAATTTGGGATTACTTGGATCCCAACAAGCAGAAAATACTACTTCTAAGACTAAACTTTGGAGAACTTTGGAAAAATATCCCTGCAGAGTTCTTTGATAAACTGAAAGCAAGTCTGCAGAAAATAATGGAAGCTGTAATAAAGTCAAAGGGTGGATGGACAAATGTGGTATTACATTTAGTTATTTAAGCTTCTGTGTGATTTTCTGTTAAATATATTTTCTGCTTTTTTTCTGACACTGAAAAATGAATAATTTGAGCTCTGGGCTGGGCTGGCATCCACAACGTAGCACCAGGCCTTTAGGAGGTGGCTGAATAAAATAATTAATTAAATAAGTGAAAAGCTGTTCTATGACCTTTGCACAGTACTGTATATGGTAGATGACACAAGGTCTTTGCACATAGTAACCCAGCAACTGTGCATATAATTAGTGAAATGCAAAGTCTGATGGTGGTTCATGATGACAACTTGTTAACTTGAGTTACAGCTGGGAATGCATAGAAGAACCAAAGCATAAATGTTGATGATATAAATGAATAGAAAAGACAGCTGTGTCTAATTAAGTCTGTTCATCAGGTTTTGGCATAATAACGCTTGTTAGTCAGATACACAATCATTACACTGAGCAGCTGTATCACGAGACAGAGCATGCACAGGCTATTTTAGCATGTTAGTGACCTGTTTGGTGGTTGAAGTGGGAGGGTCGAGCTTTGCCCAGCTGAGCTGGACCTCTGTGCTGGGGCCTAAGGAGAGGTGCAGGGGGTTGACCATTAATGTGCAGGTGGGGGTCAGAAGTGCTATCAAGAGGCCGGAAACGCTGGCTGGTGCTCTTCCCTTGGTTTAGCTGGAGGATAGAAAGTGCTTAAATAAGTCATGTACTCCTAGTTATTACAATCAGTTAAGTTTACTGACAATGAACATGAAATCTTTACATGTTAAGCATTGTAATTATATTTTGTTGTACTGAGAAACATCTTGCAAGACGCCTGGACGCTTTGATAAAAAAAATCTGTCATGATAATAATAGTAAAATGGTTCCAAAAATGTCTTAATAACTCACAGCTTGTCCAGTGACCTCGAAGGACCGAGACCTTCTCTTGCGTCTGCGAGCCTCAAAGTCCTGCTCCCGTGGTGCATTGTTCTTGGGCATGGCCTGGCGGTTGCGTGGGCGTGTCCAGGTGCCATTGGGGGCAGGGCCTTCGCCAGTGCTGCTGGACAGGTTGTCGTCAGAGGTGGCATGACGGAGCTCTGGGCTGGGCTGACGGCCGCGACGTAGCACCAGGCCTTTAGGAGGCGCTTCGCTCAGAGACAAACTGCTCTTGTGTTTTATAGGGTCCAGAGGGGAAGGTGGAGGAGGAAGGCGCAGGGCATCTACCTCCAGCGCTTTTGAGCGGCGGCGGGCCGCTTTTACTGCGATGCTGTGCACACCTTTTAGGATCTGCTGCCTCTCTGAATGGGAAGGAAGGAGAGTAGATGGAGGAAGATATAATGTGAAGAAATATGGATCAATATTGCAGGAGATTCAAACAGTACCATTCTTCAAACATGAAACAGTAATTTCCAAAATTTTCGTTGACAGTATTATTTTGCCAAAGATTAGCTGTGTCTGGAAAAGCAGCCATTATCATGACTTTAACGCACACACAATTTTTTTTTCAAAAGGAATGAATAATAGTTCTGTTTGTAATCAGAAGTTTATACTAATGATATGACAGGTGGCTCAAAACTTTTTAGTGAAGCCTATGCAGATCAAATTCTATGAATGTACAAACAGTGTATATATAGTCAGCATATACAGTACCCTTCACAAGTTTGGAATCACTTTTCATTTGGATAACGGTTATAATTTTGTTCTATAATAACTTACTCAGTGTAATGGTATAATCTAGACACCAGAGGGTATTCTGATATATTTGATTTAATTTTTTAAGTTTTTGGGAACAACAAGATGTTCTTAAATGCTAAACAATATACTTCAATTACAGCAATTCCTTGATAAGCTTTCTGCCTAAAATTTGTTCATTACCTTTTAAATATGAGGCATTCTGGATGTTAACTAATATCATCATTCTCAATGTTCTCAATACAGTTTTCTCAGTCATTATGGTTTTTACTGAAAACATTATTATTGAAAAGTGATTCCCAATTTTTTAACTTTGAATAGATGTGCATCTATGTACATCTATGCACTGATGCCCTCTACTAATGTATTAGATCGCTGACACTTGTCATGTTCAGACATCTTAGTGTAGAAATGGCTTTCTTTTTTGCATTGGTAGGTGTAGCCATGGTCATCACTTTAATCCTAGGTCATAACCAGCCATGCAGTCAGACCCGCGACTTGAAACCAATAATAATGCAGCTTATAAGAGAAATGAAAACGTATATTCACCTTTAGGTGTGAGAGAAACTTCAGTTCCATTCTCACTGCTTTCTGGTGAGGAGTCCAGGTGACTGCTCACACTGTGGCTCAGGAGGCTGTAGCTCAGTGCACCCTCTAGAGCACTCGGCAGCAACTGCAGAGAGAAAGAACACAACACAATCATACATGTTCTTCACAACGCAACCATATATTTTGTTCACAACACTATTATTTACAGTATACTATGCACAACACTATCAGACATATTCTTCACAGCATCATTATATTGTTATATTGTTGGTCTCCATTTTTGTAATTTTTTATTCTTTGTCCAACATCATTGTTTGACCTCACAAATGCTCTTCTGGATGAATGGGCAAAAATTTCTACAGACACACTCCAAAATCTTGTAGCAAGCATCCCAAAAGTGTGAAAGCTGTTATAGCTGCAAATAGGAGATCAACTTCATATTAATGCCTACGAGCTTAGAATGGGATGTCATAAAATCTCCTGTAGGTATAATGTGTAGGTGTCCCAATACTTTTGGACATATGGTGCATATCATCACTATCAGAGCAAAGCCTTATATCTCCAAAATGGTAATTTGACTAGATAAGAAAAAAATCAAAACTTGTAATTTCAAGTTCTTCCATACCAAACTCACCCAGCCATGCCTTTATGGACCTTACTTTGTGCACTGGGGCTCAGTTATGCTGGAACAGAAAAGGGCCTTCTACAAACTGTTCTCACAAAGTTGAAAGCATACAATTGTCCAAAATGTCTTGATATGCTGAAGCATTAGGATTTCCCTTCACTAGAACTAAGAGGCCTTGGCCAACCCCTAAAAAATCCCATCCCTCCTCCACCAAACTTTACATTTGGCACAATACAGTCAGGCAGGTAACATTGTCCTGGCATTCGCTAAACCCAGACTCATCCATCAGACTGCCAGATAGAGAAGTGTAATTTGTCACTCCACAGAATACGTTTAGAGTCCAGTGGTGGCGTGGTTTACACCACTTAATCTGATGCCTGGCATTGTGCTTGGTGATGTAAGACTTGCATGCAGCTGCTCGGCCATGGAAACCCATATCGTGAAGTTCCCAGCACACAGTTGTTGTGCTGATGTTTATGCCAGAGGAGGTTTGGAACTCTGCAGTTATTTAGTCAGCAGAGCGTTGGTGACATTTATGCACTATGAACTTAAGTCCTCGGCAACCCGCTCTGTAACTTTACATGGTCAGTCACATAATGGCTGAGTTGTTGTGGTTCCTAAATGCTTCTACTTTTTAATAATACCATGCACAATTCATCGAAGAATATTTAGGAGGGAAGGAATTTCACGAACTGACTTGCAACAGTGGCAACGTTTGATTTTACAAATGTTTGTAAGGGCAGCCTGCATGGCTAGGTGTTTCATTTTATACACATGTGCCAATGGGACTGAAAGAAACACCTGAATTCAATGATTAAGAGGTGTGTTCCAATACTTTTGGTCATATACACAACATTACCTGGACAAAGAATATTTGGCTCAGCTCTTAAGACCATTCATGAACTTCATTGCTTGTTTTAATTGAAACTTAAATAAGCGATGGTGCTCACCTCTCGGTTGCCCTGTCCATTGATGTGAATGGGCGGTGGAGTCATCACCACAGAGTTCTTCATCTGCTTTGCATGTGGACTGCTTTTAAACACCCGGTTACTGTCACTGTGGGATAAGGGGAGAGAAAAGACAGAATGCTGTAAGAAATGTATTTGGGTCAAATTCTGATGGGTAACATAGCTTGACGTTAGGATCAGAAGGCCTCTGATTCGACAGTGTAATCTGATAACAGAATTCAACATGGAGGATAAAGGTTGAATCATGTTGCTTCAAAAAGGGACACTGTGGCCCCAACATTAGGAGTTCAGCAGCACTGAAAGCATTGTAAACATGCTGTCTTTATTGAAAATACTGCCTTACATATTGGTGAGCTCTTTAGAATGCAGCAATTCCTAAAGGGCACTTTAAGGGTTTTGAATTAAGATTCTGAGTAGAATGTTTACCTATCAGGCTCTGGGAGAATGGGTGGCAAAGTGTGCCTCCGCACTTTGACTCTTCCTTGTCTGGTTTCAGAGCCCAGCGTTCGAACACTCTCCTGGTCTGAGTCCAGTTCCTGCAAGGGGTCACGTCCTCTGCTAGGGAGGGCAATCTTAGGAAGGGAGCCCTCCTGTAAAAAGGGAAAAAAATATGATTATTATTACTATTATTATTATTATTATACAGAATGCAGTACATACAGAATCAAGACCACCTGGATCTTTTCTAGAACATTTCCAAAATGTAGGACTGTGCAATGTGTGTGCCTGAAAGAACAACATTAATCCACACCTTTAGAGTGTGGATGGTGACCTTGTCTAAAGCCACAACTCTGTCCAGGTTCCGCTCGTCCAGCTCCCTAATGTACATCTCATACAGCTCCTGAAGATGCGGGGGCACCAGAAGACTGTGATCTGGGATAAAGAAGCACAACAGCTTATGAGATATAAAATGATCAATACTGTGCAATAACTCTATAGAGCTGTTTGTACTTTATACATATCACAAGGCAGCTTTACATAATATAAAAAAACATAAAATAAATAGACTGTACAAAAATCAACACACTGAGAGAAAGTTTCCTTTTTACATTCTTCTGAAACTTAGGCCACCAGCTTCTTTTAGCTCTTTATCTTGTCTCTGCTCTGAGCCTGCAGACTCACCATCAATGAACTGCCGCTGCTGCTGGATGATCTCGTGGCACAGCTGCCTGTGCTGCTCAAATCGCTGCACCACTACGTTTTTCTGCCGGATAACGTTGTCTTTGAGCAGGGCGTGAGACTGCATCTCTGCATTCTCGATCTCCAGCTCGTGCACTTTACACAGCAGCCCCAGCACTTCCCGCTGCTCTTCTGAGCTCACGCGGCGTGGGAGCAGCTCCTCCAGCCTGCGGGCCCTCTCACGCAACTCCGCCAGCCGCCGTTCCAGACCAGCCTGAGGGGAGGAAGGAGGGGTGTGTGACTGCACAGCCAACTCACTCGTTTAGTCAACACTAGAATTTAGTTTTCACAATACTCTGTGTAAGCGGACTTCCTGATTTAATGCTGATATTTGTTACTTACAACAGATCTCTTGACTCAGAAACAAAGAAGGAAACAAAGATAGCCAATGTGATAATGATAAAAGTTCATATAAAACTGTCTACATTTGTTCTCCTCTTTTTCACCTTATGCAATATAACAAACATGCAGACCTGATATTTAATAATAATGTCTTTGTACATCCAAATGGCACCAGTTCACCCCAAATGGGCTCAAATGTATAACAGTCAAATACTTTCACAGTGGAGTAATTATAAACAGCAAATACTTCAATAAACTGTCATTGGTGGGAATGAAAATAACATTTGTAAAAGCATCATATTCTGATTCTGACAATGTATAGAACAGTAAGACAGTAATGGTGGTTAGAGCTTTAATCAAGCTTGAAATTTTGGTTCACACTCAAATGCAGCCAGAGAATTTTCTGTCCAAGACCAGCCCAACTCAAACGACATACTCAGTTTTTGAGTCTGAAACAAGTACATGAACATTTCATCTAAAACTGACCCAAAAAGACCCTAGAACCACTCCCAAAGTGCTGAATAATGTAGTGTACTGACAGTAATAGGCACGATTAGGTCACAAATAAATAAATATAAAACAACATAAAGCATGCTATGATAAAATAAACAGCTGGGCAAAATTAAATTTAAATTCCATCTTCAAGCAATGCTTTAAACAGCATCTCACATTTCTTTGTCAGGATAAACATTCTATAATGCGCTGTTCTCACACTGTGCAGTGCTGATATAAGATGTTATCACCACAAGAATCCTAGAACTTTATTTCTTTACATAGACCATGTTATGTATAACATAAAATATGGATCTTGGCTCTAAAATCTGTTGACAAAATGAGTGAGTGACCGACACATGCCAAATTAAGTTGAATTACAATCATGAAAGCACAGCAGAAGAACAAAGTAAAGAGTAAAACTGTTAAAAGTGGGAGGTGGGCTGTGATAACTCAAGCATGAAACTTAAACCAAATCCGAGCCAGACACATATTTGGGAAATTACCATCAGGTTCAGACAAATATTTCAAGCTCTAATGGTGGCAACAGAATGACATCAGGGTGGACATGGAATCCACTGAAATCCAGCATGTTATATTTTTTAGTTCTGTTACTCCCCCTAGTGGTAATAAGCAATCATTACCCTTTGTTTGCTGATTTTCTTCTGTTCAGTCATTAGTGTGACCAGGTTCTCTCTGGCCATGGCCACCTCCTGAGTCTCTGTGGTGTCCGGAGGAGACTCTGGAGTATCTGAGTCTTTCTCACTCTCGTCCTTATTAAAGCTCTCCTTCCGTCTTTCACCTTGCCACTTCTTGCGGTGCCTGCTACGTTCCTGCTCCCAACTACAGAGAAAAAAAAAACAGAGCAAATCAGAAACAGGTTAGAATTTCACTTGTCACTCAGCGTTAAATAGAGGGTGAGATACATTTATTTGTTCAGTATTAATATGCAGCTTTTTACAGAATCTCACTGTAAATCCAATGGCTTTGTGGCTGCTTAGCTGACCATATGACTTTAAAAAAAATGAACATGTAAACCTAACACGTTATTTTGGTGAGAGATCCCGAAAGGCAGTTTTTTATTACAATTCTACTGATGATTAAAAGGAACCAAAATAACTGGTTATATAATTACTCAAAGACTTTTTGTTGCCACCATTGCTACTACCATTGCTACTATATATATATATATATATATATATATATATATATATATACATATATATATATATAAATATATAAATGTGCATTTTTTTTACACACACTTGTGTTTGGGATTGTGAGAAGCTGAAAATGCAAACCAACTTCTTAGACTGAAATTTGGAGGTGTGGAAAAATATCCTTATAGAGTTTTTTAAAAAACTGAAAGCAAAAAGAATGGAAGCTGTAATAAAGGCAAAGTGTGGACACAATAAATATTCGTAAAGATGTTGTTACAATTGATTGTTGAGGCTTCTGTATAATCATCAGTTAAATATATGTGTTCTACTTTTTCCCTGATGCTGAAAAATAAAGAATATATAAAGAATATATATAAATAAAGAACTTGTACTAAATAAATACATGAAAGGCGACTTTTGCACAGTACTGTGGGGGTGCTTGCATGTGTATTGTGCTCACTCTGCAATGGTAAGAAGGTGCTTGGATGTATCTATCTGGATCTCCATGTTGGTGTTGTCCAGCTCCATCAGACGTTTTCTGATTTCCATCTGCTGTCTGAAGGCTTCGATCAGCTGCTCTCTCAGTTGGTCCATCTCTGCTCGGCTCTGCTGAGTGGAGTGAGCCTGCACCTCCGCTACACCACCAGAGGGGGGAGACAGTGAGCCAGTGTCTGTATGGAAGGGCATTCAATATCCAAACGTGTCAGATCCCAGTTGTTTCTTGCCCATAACTATCACCACCCCAGCCCTCACAGCTGCTGCAGGGGGAATATCAATATGTGACAGATGTGTACAGAGACATAAAGAGAAATTACACAAAAACCTGTTTGTATGCTCTGGGATCATTTAAATCTTAGAAATACTGACATTATATAGGATTTCAGACTTGAGGCAACAATTCTGTTTAAGGAAAATGACAATAGTACAGGTAAAATTCTGGCTCCAAGAGGGCTGCTATCTGTAGTCATCTTTTTTGTCCATATTTATAGACAACAGTGAGTAATATGGTGTCAGAAAACACAACCAAGTCTATTTGAGACTACTTAACATCTTAACATGGCTTAATGCCATTATGTGATGATTTAGGCATGCAGCCTGCGTGAGGTTAACTAGTACACATCAGGTTAAAACCATAGTATCACTTCAAAACCTCTAACACTACACTAAGTCAGAATGCACAATATGAAACCCCAAGGGCCAACACAGGCCAGTCATAAATATACAGCCATGTTCTTGAAAAAAAGAAACATTTTTTGCTGGCTATTCATGAAACTGACACTTGTCCTTGTGGATAAGTAGAGCAGAACTGTTCTAGATGTCATAATACAGAAACATATGGCTTTGTAAAGTAAAGCTATGTGCTAACACGGAGGAGTGAGTTACCCTGCACATGCCGTATATCTGTCCTGTCAGGGTTGTTCTGCCGGCTGGCCTGCTCAGCAATTTTCTTCTTCAGTCTCTGGATCTCACTGCGCAGGTCAGAGATGATGCTGGTGTACTGAGCAATGTGGTAGGACACATTCAGCAGATTTCTCTTCACCTGAGGGGGTAGTCACACTCCCTTTAGATCTCTGCTTATAACACATGCACTGATTCATCAAGTCAACATCAGCTGATGTGTGTGTTTGTGTGTGTGTGTGTATTGTCCTCACCCTTGTGCGAATACTTTTGGCACGGTCAGCATAAGTCAGAGTGTTCCGAGACTCTTCAAAGGCCAGTGAGGCAGGGCTTATATGAGCTATCATTACAGTCCGACTATTCCCACCCAAAGAGTCCTGTCAGTCAAACAGATCAGAGAAAAGTTTGTTTCCAAATAACAGCCAACACACATCACAAAAGAAATGCAGAGACATAGACTTTTCTAAACTGCAGTAACAAAATAAAATAAACAGCTATATATACATATATACATATATATATATATAGTCGCATATGTATAATACCTTCAGGGCCTAATGATTTTCGAGAAATTTTTATTTAATACAATCATCCTGTGTGTTGTATATAAACTCTGCACATATGTATTGTAGTAATATTTAATTGTTTCATTTCATTTCATTGTTATTTCATTGTTAAGTTATGATTGGAAACCAAAGTGTTAAAATCTTAAAATAGCCAATGGAAAATTATCCAATTATGTTTTGTTTCCCCATGGTATCAACACAAAGAACTACTTTTTGTTTCCCTAAAAAAAAATCAGTGGGAGGTTCTTTAATTAACCATTTTGTAAAAGATACATGTGAGTGTGAAAACTGTTTGAAAGTTTAAAGAACCTCCACATAAAGGTTCTAGGAAGAGCCCTTAAATTGGTATAGAAAATGGTTCTTCACACTCTCACATCATGTCAAAAATGGTCATTCTACAACATCACTCAAATTACCCTTTGTGACACTGTTTAAGGTGTAGGTAGATAGAGCAATGGTAGCGCTCCCTTTGGTGAGGGCTTCACAAGCTGAACCACAGGCCAGCAAGGCCTAAAGTGTTAGATTAACAATAGGCGGGATTATACAATGGGATGTTCAAAGGGCTCACTATTCTGTCAGAGAGTTAAATGTCTTCACCTTAAGTAGGCGTGTGAGCTTGCTGTCTCTATAGTTGACATATTTGTTGCCGTTCTTTTCGCTTAGAGCGTTGATGCAGTTTCCCAGTGCCAGAAGTGAGCGGTTTATATGAGCTCCTTCCTTCAGCCTCTGTCCCCTGTTCTGTGTCTGAAAGAAGGACAAGAGATGGACAGCTTTACAAACTCTTTTAATGTCTAGCAAATACTATGGTTCTGGATGTTCACTGCTGGAATATAACAACATCCAATGGTGCTAAGTCTACAGTCGTAAACACACACAAGCCAAGCAGTGCATTCAAGCTTAATTTCACTGAAGTCCAGTTAAGCTTAATTCTCTACCAGCAGAGGGCGCTATAAACTCTTTGTTTTAAACTTGCATTACGGGTTCACTTTTCACCGTCAACAGGGAACAAATAATTAGACATGTAGCGAAGCAACCCATGACCAACGACAGAATGATCCATTCTATCCTTTAAAATGCATACCACAGGGGGGCAAACCAGCAGGCTGGACCCTATACATCCACTCCCACAGAGAGCCTGGCTGGTTAACATTTCCATCTGTTTCCATGGCAGATGAGTGCTCTCTTTCTTAAAACATGATGCCATGTGTTTTTGTCTAGCATGATGTGACACAGGAAAAAGCAAATTTAATAAGCAGCTCTGACTGGCAGCTGAATCACCGCTCCCTGCTGTGAGGCTTCTAACGCAAGCACGATTGGCAAATAACTGTTTGTACCCACTAAGAGATTCTTATTTTGGAGAATGGTTTGTGAAATGAAATTATTTTCCCATTAGAGCACGTTTAGTTTAGTATGTACCAATATCCCCCTTCAAAAATGTGTTTCCTTTTCATTAACAACTATATATTTAAACCAAATGATAGCTGCAACAATTTTCAGTGATGTAACAGAGGGTTTTTAAACAACACAAATGAGAATTTCAGAATGTACTGTATAACATACAATGGAGTAAATCTACAACCTCGCAATAATTCAATTCAATTATGATTCTTTAGGAAATTAATAATGATTTAACACTTTACAATCAACTCTACCATTCCAAAGTCAATGCAGCTGAACTGTCACCTTCACGTTGATGCATCATAATGCATCAACACCCTTAACAAACTAATAGTGCACATACACAATTGCAATGTTGGTAAACAAAGGTGATTCTGGGGAGCCTATGAAACTGTTTAGGCTTACAAGGCTTTAGATTCTGCATCACAACTACACACTAATGGGCATGTGGTGTACCTGTGCAGCTCGCTCGGAACCAGCAAGGTCAATCATGAAGAGGCGAGCGAAGCGCACCTCCTGCAGAACGTCTCTGCAGCGGCTCTGCTGCTTCACAGCTACCTGCAGCACAGCGTGAGACCGCGAGGACGTCTGATTGGCTGCGGTGGGCTCCTGAGTCCGCTGTTTATTGCCCTTCATCAACAACTCCATGATCTGAGGGTGATAAAGATTATCATTAATCATTCATCCATCATAAAAATTGAGAGTCTGACTAATATTGTCATTTAATGTCATTTATTAGTCATGTTCGACTAATATCACTTACCTTTGTGTGTTTATTTGAACAAATACAACATATATGTATATATTCAAGTTCAAAAGACTAATTTCCACTTTGCTTTGTAAATTAAGTAGGGCTGCCACTTGGACCAGACAGGTTTTGAACTCCGTTGATTGGTGTTTGTTTGGTAGCATCAATCAAATGTTAAAATGTCCGGTCGAGTCTCACTCTACATGCATTCCATTCCACTCTAAATGCACCTGTCACCGCTCTTGATCTCTCTCTCGCACTCATGGTTACAGACAAAAAAATTAGAAATGTTAAATTTACTTCAAAATGTAATGTTTAAGTGGTTCCGGGCAACTGTGTTGAGCAGCTTCTAAGATGATAAGCTTGGTTGAGTAATCACACAAAAGAGATTGAAGTAAATTCTAATTAATTAGACTAGATCATGGACTAGACAGTTGTTATGTACTCTTACACTCAACTTAATATGGTTACGTTCAACTAATGCAATTAGAAGAAGCAACACAAGGTAACAGGTATAATCTAGATCTGCGTAATTTAGTTAAGATATTGCTATACTACCCAAACACGCTCAGGAGCTGTAACCCAATCTTACAGCCAAGAACAAAAAGGGTTGATAATTAATCAAGGACTATAAGAAAGATACACACAGAAAGGAAGGTACAGGCCAGGTAGAAAGACAACATGAAGAGGGTGAAAGTAACAAATAAAACAATATGCAAATAGATGGAACCAGAAGCCAGTGGGAAAGAGGCTGAGTTTTACTCAACAAGGTTTCTTAAGAAACCTGCTCTGGATACAGCCACCCCGGAACACTGTCGCTCGATTTCTAATCTGCACTTTTAAGCCAAACTGTTAGAAAGGGTTGTAGCATCTCAATTGCAGTATTTTTTGATAAATAATGATCTTTTTGAACCTTTCCAGTCTGGCTTTCGTACAATGCATAGCACTGAGACAGCACTTTTACGGGTTCCAAATGATCTCCTCCTGTCTACTGATTCCAGCACTATCAATATTCTGCTCCTCTTAGGTTTAACCGCTGCATTTGACACCATTAATCATGACATACTCATCTCCTGTCTTTCAGCTATTGGCATTACTGACACTGAGCTTGCCTGGCTCAGATCCTATCTCACTCCACTTTGTTGCCCTTGGTAAGCATAACTCTGCTATCAGTGGTGTTACACAAGGGGTCCCCCAGGGTTCAGTCCTTGGCCCTCTACTCTTCATCATCTATACTTTACCCCTCGGTCAGATCATCTGCCGTCATGGTCTTCATTTTCATTGTTATGCTGATGATATACAGATCTACGTCCACACCAACACCACCATTAACCTGCCTCCCCCTGCCCCAATATCTTGTATTGGAGACCTCAAACACTGGATGCAGAGTAACTTTCTAAAACTAAACACTGACAAAACTGAAATTCTACTTATTGTCCCTAAGTCTGTTACTGCAAATTCTAATAATTTCACTCTTAATTTGGATGGGGTGACCATTAGTCTTTCAGCTGTTGTCTGAACTTAGGTGTACTTTTTGATCCTGTCCTTTCTTTCAAAGCTTATATCAAGGCTTTAGTCAAAACAACTCTGCTCTCCATGAAAGACACTGAATCTCTGGTCCATGCTTTCATATCATCCCGCCTAGACTACTGCAACTCCCTTCTCATTGGTGTTCCTTACAGAACTACCTGCCTTCTTCAGTAATTACAAAACTCAGCAGCTAGAATTCTCTCTCACTCTAAAAAATCAGCTCACATAACCCCAATTCTATATCTGTTACCCTGGTTTGGTTACCTGTCCCGCTTCGCATCCAGTTTAAAGCCTTCTTGCTAACTTACAAATCTCTACATGGTCTAGCACCAGCTTACTCAGCCAAGCTCCTCCTCCTCCTTACAGCCCTGCCCGTACATTTAGGTCCTCTGACTCAGGTTGTCTAGGTGTCCCAAAATTTAGACTGGTGACTGTTGGAGGCAGATCTTTCAGCATCATGGCCCCCAAACTATGAAACTCATTACCACAATCTCTCTGTGACTGTCCCTCACTTTTCTCCTTTAAAGCTCATCTTAAAACCTACCCCTTTTCTCAGCACTTTCATTCTCCTTCCTGATATGTGTTTTTTTCTGCCTATGTAAAGCGACCTTGGGTCTGAGAAAGGCGCTATATAATTTGAATTTATTATTATTATTTTCCTACATAATTTAAGCTCAGCAATTGTCCTTTCCATTGTGCAAAAATTTCATAATAAATGGACTAATAGATTAGATTACATTCGATTAGAGACTGGACATATATTTTTAATAGGCTTTCAGCTTTGAATGTTTAATAAAATTTGATGAGGTGATGGAGTAACTGATTTTATAGGGTTAAGGTTATTTGGCATATGTTTGGATGCTTAGAGGGTGTGGGGATTGTTTAGAATATGTGCTCCAACGTCTGTAGGTTGTCTGCCATGTTAGGAATGTATGGGTCATTTTATCCCTTACTTACTCTACTCATTTAAGGCAGAACAAGTCCGATGTGAGGTTTTTGTGGTTTTTTTTTGGCTATGTACATAGTTTGGAACTGGAATGTCTAGATGAAAAAAGCAAATAAAAACTATTGCTCCCAAAAAAACTCTTTCTCCTATAAAGTTACCATTTTAGAGATACTTGATTTTCTTTGGACAGTGATGATTTGTTACCACCAACACCAACAAGAGAACATTTGTAACACCAGCAAGAGAACACTGTTTAAAAACAACAACAGTGTGATTTTGTATATTCCACTAGGCCTGGGCTTCTCACAAGCATCTAAGCACAAAGATGATTCTTAAATGGTAGTGCAAGCATTACAGTAAACACTCTCTACACCAGTTAAGATGATCTTTACACTAAACTAGGTCCAGAAGTGAACACCCCACATTCATAGGGGTTTTCATTGTGTAGTGGGGGCATTCTGCAACTGCCTCTCAAACCCCATAAACTGTACTAAACAGTACACCACCAATGGTGACATTACTATTTTGAACATGTTTTAAAAAACACCCCAGCCCCACAGCCCTGGCCTGTCCAAGTTTTGCCACAGCTGAAATCTGGCCCTATATGCAACTAACCTCTCGGGCGTTGACTGTGGACACCTCTGTGATCCCTGCTACCTGGATCTCCCCCTTGGAGTCCTCTCTCAGGTCGAGAAAGCCGGAGGATGGATTCAGCAAGTCTCGGATCATCTCATTATAGATCTGAAGGGCAAAGATAAACTTTTACAAAATTATGAACCTGACATCACCCCACATAGTTTCTTTTACATGGTATTTCATGTAAGTGTTGATAACATTGATGCTGTGCAAACCATATGCTTGTAAAATCCCTGGAGACACTGTACAAATACATATTAGTGTCTTCAGGACCTGGTGCTGAATGAAATGAAACTACATCCTGAAGACTTCACAAAGCTCCATTTAAACCAGGCATAGAACAGGACCACATCCGGAGCAGCTGTGGTCACTTCAAGGCTGTAATTTTAGCAATGCCAAATGGAACATTTTTCCAGTGTCAGCAAAGTGGCTTTGAAGTCTCCAAAGGAGGTGATAATTTCAGAGTGAGGATGAGGTGAATGAAAAGACTCCATTGACACTGAAGGGAAAGAGCAGCTACACACACAAACAGACTGAAAAAGAGCAGGAAAGAAGGGAAGGAGGAGAGAGAGCGAGAGAAAGAGAGAGAGTGGTAGGCGTAGCATTTTGGACTAAACCTTACAAGTCTGGAAGAAAAACATAATACAAAAATCGCAAACAAACTGGCCTCTTGAGAATGTATTTACCAAATATGTATCATTAAGAGGACTTAGTCCAGTGAGTCATTCTGTATTTCCGTGCGTAGATGGAGCTGCTTAGTCACAGGTTTGTACAGCAAAGCACAAAAGAAGTATCTTTTTCATAAGGAAACAAGTGGGTATGTGTGTGTATTTGTGTGAGTGCACTTATGTGTGTGAGGCTGATGAGAAGAGAAAAGGCAACAGATGGGTCCTTTCCAAAACACAGTCATAAACTAGCCTCTACACTCTTTCTGTGAGTGAAGACAAATACACGCCCTCTGAGAGACAGCTCCACCAGGCCAGAGTTCAACCACCAAGGCTGTGTTATGCCCTCTATGTGCGCAGCTCTCATTGATGCATCCTGATTTAACATGAAAGCACTCAAAACAGGGTTATTATAGTTTTGAATTTTCATTAGTTTTTATTTAGTTTTTTGGTTTTTGATTTCAGTTTACTTTCAGTTAAGTCTTAAAAGTAGATGAATAGTGTTTGGTTTGTTTTTATTTTCTGAAATCTAATAGTTCTGCTCTTTTGTTTTTTTTATAAGTTTCAGTTTTACTTTTAGTTCTTAGTGTTATGATAAATGCTGCAATAGAGCGGCTCCAGCTTTCCTTAAAGACACAAATATAGAAGGGATCCACTTGTAACTCTCATTCACACACAGAAACACTAAAACAAAAGAGGTGTAGTGATGCACAAATGCCAAGATTTACAGTACTGTGCGAAAGTCAGAGACCACCCTTAATTTATTAAATTTTCTGTCAAAACCATTGATTATTATATTTAGTTACATTTATTTAACAGACAATTACAGAGAAGCCTCAACAAGTAATCATAATTTTTCTTTCTGGGAAACTTGCTTTCAGTTTTTCAAAGACATCTGCAGAGATATTTTTCCACACCTCCAAAAGTTCAGTCTTAAAAGTTGGTTGAATTTTCTGCTTCTCACAATCCAAGTAATTATTTACATTAAAGCTGAGATCGGGCGCTGGGGTGGTCAGTTCATTGTTTTGAGAACACCAGCAGCTTCTTTTTTTTTATTTGCATTTTTGTCTATTTCCCCTTCTATTTTCCTTCAACTTTCCCCTTCCTTATGAAAGTGAATTGTCTTTCATCTAATAATCTCAGAACCATTTACTGAAAAATGAATAGCTTGTAATAATACACGGTAAATGGTTCCAACTCCTCCAACTCTGTTATCATTTTGCTACTTGTTGATTATCCATAGTTCTCCTGTGAGCACTGTCCCATGTACTTTGCTGAAGGTGCTGGAAGTATTGCTTTAAAAGTCATTTAAAAGCTGCATTTCAACAAAAGGGCTACAATAACAGATTCTATCAGAGCAACATACATTGAGCAGCTGGGCTTCAGCCTGCACTACTACCGATGGTTTGAAAGGTCAAACTAGGAAAAAGCATTAACGATGCTAAAAAAAAAAATTGGTGGTGTTAACAATTTATTGCTTTGACAGCCCTAATTATAAGGGTTTTTCTTAATAGAACAGAAACAATCAAAAATATTCCAGTTTATTTCAGTATGTCTGACACCATGAATATTTTTATACCATAAAATCAAACTGTATTTGATTATTGGCTCTTATTGTCTCGCAGCTCCCTGTATCATCAAAAATAAACATTAATATGTGTGTTGTCACACCACTAGTGTCACATGAATCTAAACTATGTTATTACCATTCTGTTACTGTGTCGTGACCTTTACATGGCTAACCTGTGTTTATTTGTGCTCTTGTACGTGATCCGATAGCCATTCCATCACCATTCTTGGAAAGATCTTTTCTAATAAAGATCTATCAATCATGTCTCCTTTCTCTGTTCCGGCAGGCTTTTGTTGCCCCAATCAAGCTCTCAGTCAATCTCCTTTCAGAGCTTTCTGTATCCTTTCTTTCACATTAGACACACAGTGACAGCATGCTATTTATCTCGCACAATGGAGTCGATTCTCTCGAAGGAGAGAAAGATCTTTCTGAAAGTACTGAGTGTCTAAAGCACTTGTTCACAGTACATAATGAACATGCTAGAAAGATGCTCAGCAGAACCATTGCTGATGTCTGTTAAAGGACATGAGGAAGAAGTCTGATGTGAGATGGATGGTGTGATGAAAGTGGTGAAAATGGTGAAGAGAGTGTTACTGGAATAAATGTTCTCACAATCCAGTAACTCCAGTAAATCTTAATGTTCTGAACATTTGATGGTGTTTTGCTTCAGTGTGCTGCAGCCACTCGCTGTTTGTCACATTGCAATACAATTAAAAGTTCAGAAACTGACACTATGGGGCACAAACCATTAAACCCAGTCAATTATAAGTGTATACCAATTCAAACTGCGCTCTGAATGAGTTTGTGAGTTCACAGTACATCAATACATCCAGCAAATATGTAACACCCATGCATCTTTAATACAGTGATAGAAAATACCACCCAAAACAAAAAGCTCAGATTCTACGAGCTGATACATTTCACTGTGGACAATGTGCATGTGCTGTAACTCCTCTGGGGGCAGTTTTAAATAAGTTTAGAATGGATCACTGCGAGACACTCAGTTCAATGGGGATAAAACTACACAGGCATTGCGCTAGAATATAACAATATAATACACAATACTGAGATTGGCAACAATGAGTACAATGATCTATTTTGGACAACATTTGCAAAAAAATAAAGATTTAAGAAGAAACAGGAGGAAAAAATGCAGAAATTAATGAAATAACATAATGGCATATCCAATCAGTTCTGTGCTGCTATGCAGTTTGTACAGTTACTATACACTGGTTGTTGTTCTTTACAGGCTTACTGTAATTTATGAAACATGCAGTCCCACAGTGGTCTAGAAGTACTGATGATACCTGTAATATACTCAGAATGTGCCTCATGAAGTAATTTATCATAATAACTTTACTTGAACCCTGTTACCTAACATTGACATAACTATGCTATAAACATGCCATGGCCGATATCATATGTTGTCATAATACATATGTCTAATAACAATTAACTGTGTCATGTTATCATTGCTGTTAATTGTCATGACATGTCTTAACATTCAATGTCATTACACTAAATCTGTCATGGCAACTCTTGACAGTGTATGACATCTGCCATAACATGTTTATGACATGGCTATTTCAATGTTAAATAGCATATTAAAGTGTTATCGAAATTGCCCATCCTTATTTAGAATTTTATCACTGAACGATTTCAGTTCATCCCAGCTTCTACTTTCTTTAGTTTGCATGGGATTGTGTTGTTAAAGGAAATGTGTTAAAAAAAAAATGTGTGTCTGTATGTGGTTTTCATGCTCAATATTGGTAAATAATAAATATATTAATAATAATAACATATTTACAATGTTTATAGACAATATAGATACGAATCTTATGATCTTATAAAGATAGGATTAACATTCACAAGCATGGTGGACATTAATGTCAATGTAAAAGGATGTTCTTCTCACCTCCAGGTAAGACATGGACACACTGTACTGCATGTCATCACTGGTCTCTTCAATAGCTTTGAACAGGTCATTAAGAGTGCGTACATAGATGCCAGGCTCCTTGTCTGTCCCCAGCATAGTGTAAGTCTTCCCACAACCTAAACACACACACAAACACGCAAACACACACACACACACACATTAATCGGATAATCTGATACCTCGTCGTACTGGATTATGTTATCACAGAATTATGTTACATGAGCACATTGAGACTGCTTCACGCACATCAAATTGTAACACTGTATGGCTTGAAACTGAGAGAGCATCTATTTGTGTAACCAACATATTGAGTCCAAAGGTTCATTGCATTCTAAGAACAGTAAGAGGCTGGCAGTGTTTGTCCTGTTACTGCATGAGCAGCTTTCAAGCATCCTGAGCTTTTAATAGACGGCTCTCAGACAGGAAAGGGTGCCATGAGGGTCTTAGAGATGAGAACAGATTAAAACAGAGAGTAAACGGGACTTGTAGACTGACTTCCTGGAAATCCACACACAGCTTCACCCAATCACATCAAGCCTAAACAGTGGATTCAATGTTTTAGTGTGAGTTGTGTTAGGGGCGTCCATGTGTGTATGCCCAGGTGTGTTGTCTCAGATCACTGTCCAACCCAAATGACAAGATCAAAATGGTTCCTGTTGTTTTGGAGTAACACACATTTGTATCACTTCAATCCTTTTTAGCTCATAACTCAGTTTTAACTAATGAGGTAAAACTGCCCAAATAACCAAAATTCACTTATTATTAAATGCAGATTACAAAAATGTCAGCAAGAAAGAATCTTAAGTCTGTCTTAATGAACATTTCAGTTCCTTTTTTCAAAGTAATTAAGTTGAAAACAAAATTGAAGCTGCCTAATTTCAACATGCTGCGGTCTAGATTTATATATATGATATCATGAGTTTCAGTAAAGCCTAATTTTTTGCATCCATTTATGACAATATGTCTGCACAAGTGAAGCTACAGTTCTAGAAATGTTAAGTTTATTAGCTGCTTTCTAAATTTAAAGTATAATTTTATCAAATTAATAAAATTGTACACATACATTTTACAAGACAGTACTTATGGACACATCATTTGCACACATCTAATCTTTGACTAGCCTTGCTTTTAATAATTTTTAAAGCAATTTTACCATACATCTAGGTTTTATTATGAATAAACATATTTATTGGTGTTTTAGTCACATGTCCATACAGTTGTTGTCAATAATGTTTCAAAATAACACAAAAACGAGGGTAGATTTAACCACAGAGAACATAAACCAAACAAGCCAATTAATGTCTTAAACTTAACCACATAATGTGCTCTCAGAAGCTGAATTCCTTCCTGGCACAATATCTGACACACATTCTTTGTTTTAAAGAGACCATTACAATCCTTCAGTGCTTTAATTAACTATTAGCTCATGGCAGAAAGAGATACAGCTTGAGGAAGAAATAAAGTGAATAAATTACAGGAATAAAACAAACAAAGACAGAAATTGTGAAAGTAACAAGAGACAGCAGATAGTGATGTACATGCTGATAGAGAGTAAGTCCGACAGAGACAGACGGATTGATTGATTGATTGATTGATTGACTGACAGACAGACAGACAAACAGACAGACAGATCCCATTATCCGCATACAGAATGATGAATGAGGTATAGGTTTTGCACCCACCTGTGGGTCCGTAGGCAAAAACAGTTGCATTGTATCCTGATATGAGGCCCTCAATCAGGCCTTTAGTTGTGGCTCTGTACACTTCCTCCTGTTCAAAACACACATCATGTTTGCATAAGCAATGTCTCTGTGTGTCATTATGTAGCTCTTATGCCATACACACAAATTTAACCTGGCTGAAAACATTCAGAAACACATGACTTTATTTTGATTGATGCAGACCTTTATCACATTTACAACACATGTTTAAAAAGCCCCTATAAAAATATTTTGAAAATCCATTACATACATACAGTTATATGCAAACATCCCAAAATAGTTTTGGTCATTTTAGTGCACAATGTATATTTATTTGCTGAGCTTAACATATTGCAAAAAAATAAAACATAAAATATAAAACATTTAAAAACTTGCACAGGCTGCATTTTATGTTAAATTCAGTAAATAAACTGTAATTCTGCATCAAAATGTGCAGGAGCGCATTCTCTTTCACTTAGAAAATCAACAAAGTATGTCATTTGACCAGAAGGTGGGGCCTACTTGTGTGGCTGTGTAGTCAAAAGCCACATCAAACATGTACGTCTTCTCCCTGGAACGATGGGCTCGTAGGATGTCGTCCGGATCCTCCAGAGGGTCCATCAGCACCACCATCTGACAGAGAGAGAGAAAGGGAGAGAGAGAGAGAGAGAGAGAGAGAGAGACAGAGATAGTTTTGATTTAATTTACTAATCGTCAAGGAAACTATAGGTAGGGGAGATCGGAACACTAAACACCAGCAGTAAACAAAACAAAAAAATCTCTCCTTTTACAAAGTGTTCACAGCCAACGACCTCAACCCAAGTTGTAGAAATAAAGCGCCATTCATTAGAGCTTCTCTTTCTGTCCTATACCAGTTATTCTCTTTCAGGTCTTGCTTAAAATCCGTGATTGATTACGAAGTGAGGATATAAATACTGCCTCTGTGCACTTATGCTTTCAGCCTTTTGCAGACACAAAAGCCCCCCTGCCCTACAGGACATTTATTAGGACAGCCTGTTCTGAAATTATAAACATATCCATTTAAACTGACCTAATTTGCCTTTTCTGCACCACGCTAATAATCATAATCATCGTTGCTCATTAGCTGGCTAGATATTCGGTCATTACAGCCATACAGAGCAGCCTAGTGCTGCATAGTGTTTGAATAAAATAACCTTAAAAGCACATGGAACAGCAAGTCAAAGGGATCTGTAAGGCTAAATGCTGGGAGTAAGATAATGGCTGCATCTCCTCTGGTTACATTCTGCTCTCAAACTATAGCACCTGCGGTTTATAAGTACACCATTGTACACCAGAGCCCAAATCTATTTCTAGTTCCGCCCGTGATGTTTTTCAGCAGGTCTGCTGTGTTCTACCAAATCCAGTCTCTTTTTTCCAGCTTCATTTCTGAAAATTGGGCAGTTGGAGGTGATACAGCCTGTCAACAGCCTCAGATTTAGGCACAAAGCTGAAACCTCAGTGTCAAGAGCTCTACTCATGCTGGAGTGCTCAGAGACCCGGTGCTGAGCCCTCAGCTGCCTGCAGCTTCCCAACGCACCCCCTACTCGTTTGATGACCCCTCAGAAACACACACTACTCTCTTTGAAGCCTCTTGTTTGAAATGCACAAGCACAGATCTGACTTTTAAAAGAGCACAATTACAGCGGCAAACAAAGCAAACACATGGTCACAATCTGCAAACAAGGGATGGTAGAAGACAAAGAGCAAAGACAGGAGAGGACACAGAGGATTCTAACATGACTTGAAGTGACCTGGTCCAAATGTCCTTGATGTTGTTCAATTTGAGAGAAACAGGAACAAATGCAAAAACACAAAAACACTGTGACACTGTATTTTAAAAGTTCTGCACTGTTAATCCTTGGAGAGCACAGTTATCATCAGCAATGACAAAAGCATGTTGTAATTTTATATTTGAAACATTGAACATAAGGTCATTAAGAACCCTGAAAACCTAAACAGAAGACAAGATATTCCAGATAAACTCTATCCATATAGTCACCAGGAGACAACTTGACGACTCTTAATAAAAATAATAACAATAATTCTATGTCAATTATTTTACTCATAGCTCTTTCTGACAAAAGTGTAGATCCTAAACTTTCAATCAAAGCCACATTTGTGTTTGTAGGTAGACTGTAAACAAAGAATGTAAACCAAATGTAAATGTAGTAATACATAACTACGTAACAATTGCGAAATGAAATCAAATATACAGCAAAACAACAGTAATAACTCTCAACCTCTATGGACTAATTTTTTTATGTTTTGGATGATAACGACCACCTAAGGGGTAAATAGAGTACACTGCAAAGTCTTGTATTCTGATATGTTGTGTCTTGCCGTATATAGATCTTGCAATAGATAAAGACAAATAACAAGACAGGAAGAGTCTCAGTGCTTTGGAAAAACAAAAGAGCATCTGGTGATAAGGACCTTTAAGCATCTTCTGCTAGGAAGTGAACTCTAATTCAGGTGTTCAATTCCATTAGGGCAAGGGCACATTGTTCAGCTTCTTAGGACAGATGCATTAGTCTCACTCTGAGTTCAGTCTATTAGTATCTAAGAGTTGGTCTCTAAGGTAGATTCCATTAGTCTAAAAGACTGCTCCTATAAAAAGGTTGAACAGGAGCACACATTCTGTAAATAAATAAAATCAATATGAGGTTCTGAAGGATAAGGACTATGTGTGTTTATGTGTGTGTGTGTGTGTGTGTGTGTGTGTGTGTACAAACAGTTTTGCAAACACACACACAAAACCAGTAAAGCTATATACATCCAGTAGCGCAAAATCAGAAGTGGCAGGGAAGGACATATCTCTCCCAGTTTTTGAAATTATGCAAGATGAGTATTTGGGGTTGTTGGGATGATTGGCATACAATATAAAGTTTTTTTTCTGGGGGAGTCGAGGAACCCCAATCTACATTTTTGGAGGGTCAGGCTCAAAAGATTTCAGAACTGTGCACCAGTATTGTCTGCTGTTATATTTACCACGGCTGCTCACTCTGAGGTGTTGAGGAGTCATAAACATCATCTGATTGACTACTGATGCTCCTGCTTGTGAGCCACAGCTATAAAGTTCATCAAATGTGCCCTGACCCGTCTTTAGAAATGAAATTGTTTGCAACATTAATAATTAATTATAATTATTGGTTTAAACATCTGAATGTAAGCTTTAGGCTCTTAGACATTGTTCCCCCCAAATTTGTCAAGACAAAATTTGCACTGTATTTGTTGAACACAAAATGTGTGTATGTGCATATGTATTTTGTGAGTTTATTCTCAAAATTATTTGAGAGTTTCTTCAATTTTTGCTGTATTAACAACACTGTATGTGTTGTGTATGTACACTACCTAGCACTCTGTGGGGTTCATTTAGTACCACAACTGTTGTCCAGCTCTTTGCCATATGGTGCATGTGTTTCTTAAGTTACCTAGCTCACCCTCAGACAGAGACAGCTGCACACTGGCTGCTTGGGCACTGCTCATTTTCTTAAGTCCTGCTTCCTGCTCCACACCACAATGCCAACACACCTGCAGTGATAGAGGGCAAACTCGTTGCGCATCCGATTAACACTGAGTTACTGATCCTCTTCCCCTCAGCTTCACTAAAAACATTGCCCATAATGGCTGTTACTGTACGGGTTGTGCCGCCTAATCGCATGTTTAAAATAAGTATGCCTTTGGTCAATTTACAACAAGACAAATTACAAAACGCTTGTCTTGATTACATAAGCTAATCAGCTAATCGTTATCAGAAATCCATCTTTTGTTTGTTGAGAAACAACCTTTACATATTTATCATCTTGGCATTGACGACGAAACAAACAAAAGAAAGTGCAGACAAAAAGTAAATTGAATGTAAGAGTAATTATAACTATGTAACAATTATGTAATTATGTATTTACACATATCAGAATATATAATACATATATAATGATGTAACAATCAAACATACAGCAAGATGACAATAATAAATCTAGCCCGCTAAAGCTTAAAGAAGTGGCTGGACAGATTTTTCAAATTTTATTATAATCATGAAAGTATAAAAAATCAAATAGTAAATTTTGATTTTTAAAGGTTACCACATACCAAACAAGAAGCTCCATGTTGTGTCACCAGAGGGTCTCTGCCCTTGGGTAGCAGACAGTCCAGAGCTCAGCTATAGCACATAGGAAGTGTGGCAGAAAAGTGCCAATAACACATCAACCTCAAGTCCAGTCTACATTCCATTTAAGATAAAAGCCTTTATAATGTTTGGAATCAACAAACAAACTCTTTATCAACTTGATTTAAAAGGTTTGAGGTAAAATCTCATATAATTAGGCTAGTAACAACAGATGAGGTTAAACTAGGTGATTCAAATTTGTCTGTTTATGTTTTACACTTTAGATTGATTACTTTTTGGTGTACATTTTCAAGCTACCTACTATGGATTGTGGTCTGTGTTTGTTTTAATATTGCTACACAGTAGAAGATGCTGAGAGTGTCACCATCTCTGGTGGTGTCCTGTGAAATAAATAAAAATAAAAAGCAAAATAGTCAGTATCCAGTCTTTTCTAGCACTTTAAGTGAAGAAGACCACCACCTGTGAAATATCAGTCAGTCCATTGGATGACAGTGCTAGCATTGAATTCCAGGAAATCTAGGTAAAATTAGGATAACAGTTACACTTGAGTCTTTTCCAGCACCCTGAATGAGGAAGATCACAAAGGGTTACAGGCTTTCACTGGATGAATGGCATATAATTTAAAGTAATACACAAAACCTCTTAGTTATTCATCAGTCTTTGGGATAACAGTGTTAGCACTTAACCTTCATTTAACCCTGTTACAAATTTGAATATCAAATTAGACTGAAATGACTATCCCTAGTACTTAGGTGATGTTTTTCTATTGTTTGGATGCTAATGACCATATTTTTACTGTGGTAAACAGTGTACAGCAAAGCCAGAAATATAAAAAATTCCTAATTTATAATGCTCTATTTGTACTGGCTGAATCTATGTCTCTCTATATAAAGACAACAAAAGACCCACACAGGCACAGAGACACATTAAATATTCTTTGGGCTGTGAAGCATTTTAGGTTAGCCAGAAAGATGAGCGACTATACCCAAGCTCTCAGCTCTTGGGACACACATGCACACACTAGTAACCATAAAACAACTTTTTCCAATGTATTGCTGATGTTTGTCTGTCAGGTCCTCTGTAAATGAGCCTTTTGTAGCCCCTGCAGCTCTAACATTGGTCATATATGTATATAAGCAGAGAAAACTGAGCTTATAACAATCAATGTGCCATGAGCTTAAATACAACTATCATCACAAACTCCAAGCAATGTTTTAAAGTTTTCTCACAACTACACCAGCTACAGCAAAACAGGCATGTGCTGCAGTAGAGTAAACATACAGTTAAACATAGTATGTAGCATACAGAGTACAAAAGAAGAAAATAACTCTATTAATAGTACAGCTGACACTGGAACATAAACCTGTAATCAGCATATTTTCACATTTCTGACTTCCCACACTGGAACAACCTCTGCTGACAAAACCTTCTACTGCCTTTAGTTTAATTGTGGTAGAAAATGTTGCACTGATAACCAGCATAATAA